TTTTAATATTAGAGTCTCCCGACAATAACACCGTTTGATGAATGTGTATGTAGATTCTAAACGGACATAGATACCTAGCTAAAAACACACCTCAATGCCCAGAAAACTCTAGAAAAGAGAAAGTTAAAAACCAGAATACGCTCTCTTTTTCCGTACAGAGGTATGGACTGTCAAACTCACAATTTGTTTTTTTTTTAGTTTTGGTTAAAAAAGAATTTCGCTTGAAATAGTTAAAATTTTCAACAACTAATGCCAAAAACGCACTCAGCTGAAGAAAATTAGTTTAGAAAGTTAATATCAAGTAGACCGAAACATGTTTATGTTTCAAACAATTTTTCCGGAGTTTTCCGGTCAAAATTTTCGAATTTAAGCCATAGCTCGCTTAAACGTATCTCGATTTGTTTGAAAATAACTCCCGTCCCTGATTCAAACTTACTGAATAAGAACCGGGGGGCAAAAAAATGTAGAAGGGCTTCTGGTTTTTTTTTTTTAATTCTTTAATATTCGAGTCTCCTGAAAATTATCGCGTTCCATGAATGTAAACATAAATTCCAAACGGAGATAGATACTTAGCTGAAAATTTACTCCAATGCCCAGAGAACTATAAGAAATAGGATGTTAAAAACCAGAATACGCTCTCTTTTTCCATTCTCACAATTTGTTTTTTCGAGTTTGGGTTAGAAGGATTTTGCTTAAAATGGTGAAAATTTTCAACAACGGATGTCAAAATCGCACTCACCTCGACAAAATTCGTTTAGAAACTTAATTACAAGTAAATCGAAACATGTTTATTTTTTGAACAATTTTTCCGGAGTTTTCCGGTCAAAATTTTCGAATTTATGCCATATTACGGTTAAACGTGCCTCGATTTGTCTGAAAATGATTCCTGCCCCTATTTGGAGTCTACTGAATAAGAATCTATGGCAAAAAAGTAAAAGGACTGGCGTTTTTTTCTTATTTTTTAATATGTCTCCCGAAAATGACACCGTTCAATGAATGTGTGTACAAATTCTAAATGGTCACAGATAACTAGCTGACAAGACACCTCAATGTCCAGAAAACTCCAGGAAAAAGAGTGTTAAAAACTAGAATACGTCCTCTTTTTCCGTTCAAAAGTTATGGACCGTCAAACTCAGAACCTGTTTCTTTGAATTTTGGTTAAACAAGAATTTCGCTTAAAATAGTGAAAATTTTCAACAACCGATCCCAAAAATTTACTCAGAGGGGCAAAGTTAGTCTAAAAACTTAATTTTAAATAGATTGGAACATGTTTATGGTTTTTTTAGCAATTTTTCCGGAGTTTTCCAGTCAAAATTTGCGAATTTAGGTCATATCTCGGTTAAACGTACCTCGATTTGTCTGAAAATGACTCCTGTCGCTAATTTGAGCATACGGAATAAGAATCTGAGGCCAAAAAAACGGACAAAAGCTGGGTGATTTTTTTTTTAATTTTTTAATATTAGAGTCTCCCGACAATAACACCGTTTGATGAATGTGTATGTAGATTCTAAACGGACATAGATACGTAGCTAAAAACACACCTCAATGCCCAGAAAACTCTAGAAAAGAGAAAGTTAAAAACCAGAATACGCTCTCTTTTTCCGTACAGAGGTATGGACTGTCAAGCTCACAATTTGTTTTTTTTTTTTAGTTTTGGTTAAAAAAGAATTTCGCTTGAAATAGTTAAAATTTTCAACAACTAATGCCAAAAACGCACTCGGCTGAAGAAAATTAGTTTAGAAAGTTAATATCAAGTAGACCGAAACATGTTTATGTTTCAAACAATTTTTCCGGAGTTTTCCGGTCAAAATTTTCGAATTTAAGCCATAGCTCGCTTAAACGTATCTCGATTTGTTTGAAAATAACTCCCGTCCTTAATTCAAACTTACTGAATAAGAATCGGGGGCCAAAAAAATGTAGAAGGGCTTCTGATTTTTTTTTTTTTATTCTTCAATATTCGAGTCTCCTGAAAATGATCGCGTTCCATGAATGTAAACATAAATTCCAAACGGAGATAGATACTTAGCTGAAAATTTACTCCAATGCCCAGAGAACTATAAGAAATAGGATGTTAAAAACCAGAATACGCTCTCTTTTTCCATTCTCACAATTTGTTTTTTCGAGTTTGGGTTAGAAGGATTTTGCTTAAAATGGTAAAAATTTTCAACAATCGATGTCAAAATCGCACTCACCTCGACAAAAGTGGTTTAAAAACTTAATTACAAGTAAATCGAAACATGTTTATTTTTTGAACAATTTTTCTGGAGTTTTCCGGTCAAAATTTTCGATTTTAGGCCATATTACAGTTAAACGTGCCTCGATTTGTCTGAAAATGATCCTGCCCCTATTTGGAGTCTACTGAATAAGAATCTAGGGCAAAAAAAGTACAAGGACTGGCGATTATTATTTTTTTTTTAATATTAGTCTCCCGAAAATGACACCGTTCGATAAATGTATATACAAATTTTAAATGGACACAGATAGCTAACTGAAAATACACCTGAATGTCCAGAAAACTCCAGGAAAAAGAGTGTTAAAAACTAGAATACGTCCTCTTTTTCCGTTCAAAAGGTATGGATTGTCAAACTCAGAACCTGTTTTTTTTAATTTTGATTAAAGTACAATTTCGCTTAGAATAGTGAAAATTTCAAACAACCGATCCCAAAAACTTGCTCAGAGGGGCAAAGTTAGTCTAAAAACTTAATTTTAAATAGATTGAAACATGCTTATGGTTTTTTGAGCAATTTTTCCGGAGTGTTCGGTCAAAATTTTCAAATTTAGACCATACCTCGGTTAAATGTGCCTCGACTTGTCTAAAAATAACTCCCGTCCCTAATTCGAACCTTCTGAACAACAATCTGAAGCCAAGGAAAATATAGAAGGGCTCCTGATTTTGTTTCCATTGTTTAATATTCGAGTCCCCAGAAAATGACACCGCCCGATAAAGGTGTATGTAAATTATAAATGGACATAAACACCTACCTGAAAATACACCTCAATGCCCAGAAAACTCTAAGAAACAAAACGTTAAAAACCAGAATATGCTCCCTTTGTCCGTTCAAAAGTTATGGACCGTTAAATTCACAATTTGGTTTATGAGTTTTGGTTAAAAAAGAATTTCGCGTAAAATCGTGAACATTTTCAACAACTGATGCTAAAAATGCACTTAGCTGGACAAAATTAGTCTAGAAACTTAATTTCAATTGGATTGAAACATGCTTAATTTTTGAGCAATTTTTTCGGAGTTTTCCGGTCAAAATTTTCGAATTTAAGACCATATCTCGGTTAAACGTGCCTCGATTTGTCTGAAAATAACTCCCGCCCCTAATTCGAACCTACTGAATAAGAATCTGGGGCCAAAAAAAATTTAGAAGGGCTCCTGTTTTTTTTTAATATTCGAGTTTCCCGAAAATGACAGCGTGTGAACGTAAATTCAAAAAGGATACAGATACTTAGCTGAAAATATATTCCAATGACCAGAAAACAACAAGAAATAGGATGTTAAAAACCACAATACGCTCTCTCTGTCCGTTCAAAAGGCTATGGACCGTCAAACTCACAATTTGGTTTTTTCAGTTTTGGTAAAAATTGAAAAAACAAAAAATTATAAAATCGAAACATTGAAAAATCGAATCATTGAAAAAAAAATACAGAAAATAAAAAACCGAAAAATTGCACATCAAAAAAATAAAAAAATTCACAAGTTCGAAAACTGTAAAATTTAAACTTAAAAACCCGAAAAATTGAATCGAATAAACGAAAAAGTTTTAAAATGCAATATTTGTAAAATATAAAAATTCTGCAATCGTAAAATAGAAAAAGTGAAAAACTTTAAAAATTATAGTTAAGTATTACATGTTTAAAATGAAAACTAAAAAAATTGCAAACCAACAACTGAAAAAAAAAACGAAAAATTGAAAAATCTAAAATGGAAAAACCGAAACATTACTAATCGAAAAATTGAAAAATTGAACATTGAAAAGAAAGAACAATTATAAGGTTAGAACATTGAAACCCCGAGAAATTGAAAAGATAAAGAAAATCAAAAACCGAAATAAAAAATTGCAGAATCTAAAAATTGAAACATCCAAAAGTTGGAAAATCAAAAAATAATCTGAATATCCTCTTTTTGTCCATTCAAAAGTTACGGACAATTTGTTTTTTTTTTGAGTTTTGATTTAAAAAAATTCGTTCAAAATAGATTATAACGTTGTCTCGACAAAGCGGCACAATTTCGATAATTTTATTACCATATGATCGAAAAAAGTCTTTCAGGACACTGTGTTTTCGGAATTAGTTTTGGTATAAAATGTTCCCTTAACCTGATTTGTACCAAGAAGTTTTTTGTTTGATCTAGCTGAATTTAAATTTGTATTTAACCTCTAAATTAAACCAACTGTATTCAATGTGGTCAATGAAAAGCGTAATAAATGGAAAAATCCTACATAAAATTACACAGTAAAAACCCAATTAAATTCAAATTTGCACCAATAAATAAATGGGGATTTTCGTTATTTTTTGAAAGCTATTATTATGACAAGGGTGTTTGTTAGTCACAGCGGAAAATTGTAATCAATAAAATTATGCATAATTTTTGCTAGGAATTAGACTTTAAATTGTTAAGCTAGCTTTAAATTCACTTCTAAATCGTCATATTATATTAGGATGCGGTAATTTGAATGCAGTTATACGGGTTTAGCCCACTTTTACCAAGCTTTTTTTTTGTGACAGGAAAAACTCTATACGACCCAATTGAATCCAATTTGGTTTTTAATGGTTTAAACTATGAATTTTTAGCAACGATTACCAACAGAACATCCGATATTTATCCAAAATACTATATAATTTCGCCACCCACAATAAATATACCCATGAATTTCCGTTGGTCTTTTAATTATAGCCACTCATTGCAACAACTCCCATTATTCACGCCACACTACACTCTTCATTCCCCCAAACAACCAAATACACCCATTAAAAATCGCCCAAGGTTGTTCCAGATGAAGAAATCGACGTCCAAGACTACGGAGACGTCTCCTACACCCCTCTCGTGGACAACATCCACGTCCCAAACATGAAAAAGTACGCCAACGTAGCCGCCTGCAACCAAGAAGTCTCCAAAACCGTGGAAAAAGTCCTCCGCGACCACAGAACTTGCCTAACATTAGGCGGCGACCACTCAATCGGTAACCTAATCATAATCAATCATTCACAAAAACTAATAAATGGACAATTTTTCCAAGGTATCGGCACCGTGGATGGCCACATCAAGGCCAAAAAAGAAAATGTTTGCATATTATGGGTGGACGCACACGCGGATTTGAACACCAATAAAACTTCGGCGTCGGGAAATATCCATGGGATGCCGTTGGCGCTTCTGGCGAAGGAATTGGCAGATTATTGGCCGTATTTACCCGGGATGGACTGGCAGAAGCCGATTGTGTCGATTAGGAATGTTGCATATATTGGGTTGAGGTCGGTGGATTCGTATGAAAGGCTGATTATTGAGCAGTTCGGGATTACGGCCTATGGAATGGAGGACGTGGAGAATCACGGGGTTCAAAATGTTGTCAATATGGCGCTGGAGAAGATTGATCCGAATAGGACGCGCTCGATACATTTGAGCTTTGATATTGATAGTTTAGATGCGCTGGAAGCGCCGTCTACGGGGACTGCAGGTGGGTAGGAACGCAATAAGAATGACGTCACGGTTATGGCGCCAATTATGACTTGTCGGTGTTATAATTATTTTTAAAATCCAATTCAGGAATAAAATTTAACCGTACGGTTTAAAGTCGTACGAAATGCGCAATTCCAGACTTGCAGTTGCATTACTGTGATTTCCAATTGCGTCAATAATGCAATTTTTATGTCGAGCCAGTCGTAAGATCCTACAGTAAATTTATTTAATTTGATATTTATAGCCTACGGTAGTAAAAAAGACAATCAAACTCAATGCTGTGATTTTAGAGAAAGTGGGGCGGTAATATGTGCTAAAAATTTAACACAGGTGTTACGGTCGAACTCGCTACTTGCACAGTATCTAATGTCAGAGGTACATAATTCATAATTGGTTGTAACAATGTAGCATCAGTTTAACCTCGTTAACACATTTTTATATTCTACTCATTTCTTTCAATGCAATATTGTAGTCAACGCCGCATTAAAAATTTTATGACGAGAAGTAGCTGACAATCCATAAAAATCTTATTAAGGTTTTTAATATTCGTGTCAACTTTTGTCTTTGTCGCCACAATTAAAAAAAAATAATTCCATGGCTGACTCGACTTTTTTTTTCAGTCATATGGTATATTAATTTAATAATGATATTCGAGCTACATCTGTTTAAATTTCGTTTTTTTTAGCGTTCCACAGGTCATAGAATACACGAATACAAGTTTTCCATTTCCATTCTCTGTCGTCCGTTTCGTACACTATTTTCCAAAATTGTAAAACTGGTTACTTTTAAATTAGCGTGAAAACATATTTTCTTTTTTTAACGGAAAACTCACCTTAAAATATTGTAGATATGCAAAATAAATCCTCTTTTGCTTGGAAAACTTACATTACTATGGGGATTAAATAACTTTAATTAAAATATGTTTTTGATCCCTTCAGAAAAGTGGTGACGTCATCATAAAAATATTATATGAATTTCTAAAAAAGTAGGCCTGAGACATGGTATTATTTTTTAAAATAATGACGTTGGCCATTACAGCTTTAAAAATAAATTTCATGGCCCACTAGGGGTCTTTTTCTTTGATGATATGGTACTTACGAATATCGTGTAGGTAATAATTATTTTTTTGGCTATCCACTCAAAAAAATTGAAACGTCATCTCAAAATTAAAACTTAATTTGAAATTTATAGCCAAGCATATCTGTGATTGAAAAAAGTCGTTTAGTAAGCCATGAAATTTATTTTTAAAATAACGATGTCGGTATTCTGGCTATCTGACAGTTTATTTGAGCGTAACTATCAAACAATTACATTAAAAATAAATTTCATAGCTCACTAGAGCTGCTTTTTTCGATCATATGATACTTTAAGAATATCGTATATAAAAAAAAAATACGTAGTATTTTTTTTTGGCCATCCACTTCAAAAAATTGAAACGTTGGTGTTACCAACCAATCTTTTTTAAGATTAAATTTTTTGTAAACGTTATTGTAAAGAATGTCTATAATAAACCTAAAATGAAAATGTAATGGATGACAGCTTACAACGCGGAAATGTCAATTATAAATAGCAGTCTGAATTTTTTTTTGTGAAACAAGCAATGGCAACTTGATGATTTCCAAATGAAATCCATTACATAATACTATATTCACATTTTTCGCCTTACAAAAATTACCAAAAAAAAAAAAACTTCTAACTTGTACTAGTTTTTCTTTGAAATTTAATTAGACTAGACTAAGAACACTGACTTAATGATGATCAAATATCTACTAAATGTATTAATTCGCCCCTCCATGAAGTTGATGACGTCATCAGAAAAAATTATTAAATACATATTTATTAAAAACAATATCTACATACTGCATATACGGGTGATTCTTTAATTTCTGAATAAACATGGTTCTAGACACCCAAGCATTTGCTAACAAAACAAATTCAGCTGAAAATTAGGTCGTAACTTGACTTACAAAAAAAAACCAAACCACAATTTTAAGTTATGTTAAAACGTAAGAAGATTGTTACAGTATCTTTGTATCATCTGAAAGACGACCTACGTAATTGGGTGATGCCAGCGAAAACTAGATTAGAAATTTAAAAAATCACCCGGTCCTTTCGTGACGGATTTTTAATTTTACCCGTCCTTTGCAGTTGTGGGGGGGGGGATCTAATTGCAAAATCGATATTTCCTTATACAAATTTACCATCTTAAGTGTTTTAAGTTTCTTGTTGTGAAAAGATGGCTACGTATATTAAGAAAAAAGACAAAATATATGCCCCGCCCACCCACCCTATCCCAGTTGTCCTTATTATTTCTCCACAAGAAATTACCATGTAAGACAAAGATTAAACCCCACCCATACGCGCCCCGATCTCAATTCTCAATTCTGATGAATTTTTCCTTCGTTGTCAAATCGAGGGGCGGAGCCTAAGCGCAAAATCAATATTTTCTTACAAAAATTTACCATTTTAAACGTGTTTTAAGTTTCTAAGAATAAAAAAAAACATCACAATTGAGAAGGGGTGGGTGGCGGGGTTTATATTTTGGCTTTTTTTTCTTAATACACATAGCATTTTTTGAACAACACAATACTTAAAAACATGTTTTTAATTAAAGAAATATAGCATTTTGCAGTTAAGCTCCGCCCATTGGTTCACGGCGAATAAAAAAAATCATCCCACATGAGACAGGGCGGGTGGGCGGACTGACATTTTGCCTTTTTGTTTTAATAATGTGTAGACTTCTTTTCACAACATGAAACTTAAAATATCGATTTTGCAATTAGGCGCCCCAGAATTGCAAAATCCATATTACCTTGCACAAATGTACCATTTTTAAGTTTCTTGTTGTGAAAAGATGACCATGTATGTTAAGAAAAAAAAATCAAAATATAAGCCCCGCCCGCCCGCCCTATCTCAATTCTGATGATTTTTTTTATTCGTCGTAAGCCGACGGGCGGAGCTTAACTGCAAAATCCTTATTTTTTTACGAGAAATTACCTTGTGAAATATGTTCTTAAGTACTCGTGTTATATAAAGAAAACTAAATGTATTAATTAAAAAAGAAAACCAGAAGAGAAGTCCCACCCATCCGTCTCGATATCAATCGTGATGAATTTTTCATTGGTTGTCAGATCGAGGGGCGGGGCGTAATTGCAAAATGAATATTTCCCTAGACAAATTTACCATTTTAAACATGTTCTAAGTTTCTTGTTGTCAAAAGATGACTACGTATATTAAGAAAAAAGACAAAATATATGCCCCGCCCACTCACCCTATGTCAGTTGTGATGATTTTTTAACGGCCGGGAGCGAAGGGAAGGGAGTTAAATTGCAAAATCCTTGTTATTTCTCCACAAGAAATTACCATGTAAGACATGTTATTGAGCAACGTGTTATTCAAAGACTACTACGTATATTAAGTAAAAATTAAAGCCAAATATTAAGCCCCACCCATACTTGCTCCTACCTCAATTCTCAATTGTGATGAATTTTTCTATTCGTTATCAGATTGAGTGGCGGGGCTTAATTGCAAGATCTGTATTTCCTTACAAAATTTACCATTTTAAACGAGGTTTAAGTTTCTAAGAATTAAAAAAATCATCATAATTGAGATGGGATGGGTGGGCGGGATTTATATTTTGCCTTGTTTTCTTAATACGCATAGTATTCTTTGAACAACGATACTCAAAGACATGTTTTTAATTTCTTGTAAAGAAATAAGTATTTTGCAGTTAAGCCCCGCCTCCTCGGTTCACGGCGAATAAAAAAAATCATCACGATCGAGATAAGGCGGGTGGGCGGGCTGACATTTTTCTGTTTGTTTTAAAATACATATGTGGACTCCTTTTCACAACATGAAACTTAAAACATGTTCAAAATGAAAAATTTGTGTAAGGAAATATCCATTTTGCAATTAGGCTCCGCCCCATAATTGCAAAATCCCCATCCTTGCATTTTAAATATGTTTTAAGTGTCTTGTTTTGAAAAGATGACTACGTATAAAAAGAAAAAAAGACAAAATATAAACCCCGCCCACCCGCCCTATCTCAATTGTGATGATTTTTTTTTTATTCGTCGCAAGCGGGTGGCGGAACTTAATTCCAAAATTCTTATTTTTCTACGATAAATTATCATGTGAAACATAGTGTTCTTGAAAGAAAACGAAATGTATTAATTAAAAAAGAAAACCGGAAGAGAAGTCCCACCCATCCCTCTCGATCTCAATCGTGATGAATTTTTCATTCGTTGTCAGATCAAAGGGCGGGGCGTAATTTTCTAAGTTTCTTGTTGTGAAAAGAGAAAAAAAAAAGGCAAAATGATGGTGAAATAAATGGACGTACGAGATTATTAAAAAATTTGTATATTCATGTGTATTTGATTCAGAGACGACAAAAATTCGGTGAGATAATTTTGACGTCCTGTTTCATGTTCTAGCTTACATATTCATTTATTACAAGGTGTTTTTACTAAACATGATGTAAAAATTTCTTGGATTATCTGAAAAAAAATCTTTGAAGGATTTTCGGAAACACGCTTTGTTAGATCGTCCAAAGACAAAAAAAAATCTTAAAATAACCCAATGAATAACTCCTCATATTTTGCCACATTTTTAGTAAACACCCTGTATAAACTTTATTATTTCCATCAATTAAAACATTACAAAAACGTCTACATTTTACCCTATAGTTTTCTAAAAGTACTTCCCATATAACCGACAACCACACCTTTCCCTTTACTTCCTCTCCGTTTTTATCTCTTCGTTCTTACGTACAAAGCTACACAATTACAGTCGCAATTAAAACAAATTTCGAAATTTCAGTACGAGGCGGCCTAACCCTACGAGAAGGCATCCACTTGGTGGAACAAGTATACAAAACGGGCCGTTTGGGCGCCATGGACCTAGTCGAAGTAAACCCGGCCCTGGGTTCAGCAGAAGACGTCAAAAAAACAGTAGAAGCTGCCATTCACCTACTTTTAGCAGCTTGCGGCTATAGTCGAAGAGGTATAACACCAAAAGACTCCGATTATGTACCAATACAAACCTTTCCAAGCTAAGCTGAAACCACTTCATAGAATAAATCACTATCATTACACTTAATTAAGGAGTTTTTCTCGCCAAGTGCTAAGAAGTGCGGAAATGGGAGCTACACTTACTCCGGTATGAATGGAAATGAGACTATACGTAACGAGTAATAGTAACAAGTTAATAACAAATAATTACCTACCCTTGTAAATGTCACTTACTACTCTACGCTGTAATTAGTTCCAGCTGATTAACAGCGCTGACAGGCAAGGCCTTTGGAACAAATGTGTGAAGATGTAGCCGATTTACGTAAAAACGATCGATTTGCATAAAGTAGCGTGAAAGTTGTTCCTCAGATCTAATCATTGCGACAGAATTTAAAATGTGACACCAATTAAAGAGCTGTTGCACTCGCTCGACGGGTTTCTTCAAAATACCCGCGATTTAGGCGCTAATTGTCAAATTTCGTTTAGAACTTGCACTTTTTCGGATCAAGGACACGCTAGAAATTTCAATGTTAACATTTCTCACACAAACAAAATCAAGTCGAGCGTGTCATAACAGCAATTAGCAAAACCGCTGCATCATGCGGGCTTACGCCCCTTTAAACACTTCCCGAAATTCGGCCGGGATTTTCGGTCACAGGTGACTGACCCATAAACGGTCTATGATGTTCCAACACATGAAACTATTAGCGTCAGTCGTAAAAATATTTACATTTCAATAAAGCTGGAGAAGTATCGCCTTGACACGGTATCGGTAACTTCCCTTTCACAAGGAGATCCTTCATAGTATACCGAACAGGACTAGAACCACGAAAAAAAAAACATAAAAAGTGGTTTGGAAGTACCAAATATCATGTTTGAAATTCATCAAGTTGTCAAGCTTCGTTAGCGGTGCGTGCTAGCGTATACTGTGATATTTAATTTAGACATTGTAAATATCCCCCCTTCAATTAAAGTATAATTTGAAAGTAAAATGCACAGAAATAAAGAGTAGGTAGGTTAGTTCCAACTTCGGTCTAGAGAAGAGATCAAGTAGAACAGGTGAGTACCTAATAAAATTTTAAGAGGTGCGAAATTTAACTGGGGGCAACTTTGATTTATTACTCAATAAAGTCCAATTAAGTTAATTTATTGTGCATTTTTAAGTATCACACATGTCAGTGATCGATTTTTTTTTATAGAAATTATTGCGAAATCACTTGTATTAAAAAAAAGTTAATTAAAGACTACTTTTAAAACTAATTCTGATTAATTTGGCTTCAGTCTCATTTTTTTTGAGATAAATAAATAAATAAATTCTACAAAATTTTCAAAAAATTTCGTTGTATATACCTATCAGTATTCAACACGGAAATTTTTATAATCGTCTATGAATCTGAACCCTAATTTAAAATTTCTAAGTAAAAACGGGAGACCTACCTTTTCAGATTCTAGGAGCTATGGAACAGACAAAATTTTCCTCAGCTTACTCTTGACAAACAAAAAATAAAAATTTCACTACTTGCGAGATACTTTCTCCTATTTGAAGTTCTCCTGTAAAACGGATTTTTGTGAATATAACATACACAAAAAACGCACGATAATTTCAAATAAATATAAATGAAACGAAGCCAAAAATATTCTCTCGTTTTCTATCTAAAGAAATCAGCGGTGATAAAAGTGATACCGGCGGTTTCACTTTTTGATTTCACCCTGTATATGGTCAATTGGTATATCAGGTCACCCAACACCGAAACGCGAATAAAGCGGGCATTTTCTGTCCGTTTCCTGTTTCAAAAAAAATTATACCACCGAGTTTTTTTCCCAAAGAGATTGTAACGTGACCTCCAATAGTAAGAAAGTAGGAATAATATGCAAATGATTCGCGAAAAAAATAAAATTAGTATTAATATTGGTCGCCTAACTTGATAAAAAAGCATCTAATGGGAAAGTGCATTTAAAAATAAAAACAAAACTTTGTACCTAAATAAGGCAGTCATAAATTTAATTAGTCATGTGTTAGAATTGTAAATTACGTGTCGTAAATGCCCGGTTCTAAGTAAAGACTTGTGTAAAATAATCTCTGCATTAAATCATTTTTAAACACTGGAACTAGCAATAATAAATATGCCGTCTTCCCCCGATTTAATTTAAAATAATCGCGCACTTTACTAGCCGAATTTAATTGAAAAACCTTCCGTTGTTAAGCTGAACCTTGACTACTTTTAACATGCCTCGATAATAGCCTTTGATATTTATCTCCATCCTAGCGTCCCTCTAGTAAATGAGTTGATATTTTATACTACACAATGGTTCGTAATGAGTTATTATTTGCGTTGTCGTACTCTTGAAACTGATCAACGCAGGATAAGGAGCCTAGACTGTAAATAGAAGTTGACCTTAACAAACGCAAAATTATGTAGGAACTAGACATTAATTCACGCAAAAGTGATAACAATCGCGACAATTAAAATCCTTACCTTTTATGTATATTGTTAACAACAATTACTGCAATTATTAACAAAAATAATTAGCTTGGTTATGATACACTCTGTCAGAAACTTTGTTGATATGTCAAAAATCAGCGCCAACTATGTAAACCTTGAGGTGATTAATTAGTTTTTTTTTAAAAACAACCTTACTACAAGTTGAATTGATTAATTAATTCGGTTTGAAAAAAATATTCGTGTTAAAATATTAAGCACGAATTTTTATTTATTCGCTTTTTTAAGTCTACAATTGATGCAGTAACCTGCAATACCGACTAATCGTGCTGTCACTTGTCAACCGTTCAAATTCAAAAGTGCTCAAGGTGAAAAACGGTTATCACGACTCCTCAAGCATAAAATTTCAAATGCTCGTTATTCGACTCTCCACAAAGTGATTTGACTAAAATAAACCCGTACTACATCAAGATGAACCCTGTAAGTAAATTCACACCAAAGTTACGCCGGGAAAAAACCGCCTTATCAAACTCCGACCTGGCCAAGAAAAAAGATGCCGTGCAAGTTTTTTGCCGTTTGCGCCCCCTGCAAGACGACCAGGAGTCCAACTGTATCAAACTATTATCGTCTTCAGTGTTGGCTTTAACCACCCCTGCCGAATCCAAGTTAATACGTAAGGAAGTCCACTGCCAATTCAAACACATCTTCACCAACTATGCCTCCCAGAAGGAAGTTTTTGACACCGTGGCGTACCCCTTTTTGGTGGATTTGTTGCACGGTAAAAACGGACTTTTGTTCACGTATGGGGTCACCGGGTCAGGTAAGACTCACACTTTGACCGGTGACCAAAACAACCCGGGAATCATGCCGAAGTGTATTTACACCATTTTTAATACAATCGCGGATTTTCAAGCCCCAAAGTGCGTGATTAAGTCCGACCGGATGAACGGATTTGAGGTTCAGTCGCGCGAGGATGCAATGCAAGATCAGTTGTTTATACTAAGATCGGCTTCGAAAACTCCTGGCAGAAGCAACGGTAAAAAATTGAAAGATAAATCGTACTTGAACGACGGAGCGAAAATTATGGATATCAACGAAAACAACTTGTACTCAGTTTTCGTGAGTTATATTGAAATTTATAATAATACAGTTTATGATTTGTTGGATGAAAATAGTGGGAAAACGCTTCAAGGTAAAATCTTGCGAGAAGACTCTCAGAAAAATATGTACGTGAACGGGGTGGTCGAAACCGAGGTGAAATCCGCCGAAGAAGCGTTCGAGCTCTTCAATATTGGTCAAAAACGCAAGAAAATGGGCAATACTGTTTTAAATTCCGTATCTAGTCGCAGCCATTCCATTTTTAACATTAGAGTAGTCCAATTTCAACAGCTAGCTCACAACGAGGAGGGTCAGCCAGTCATCCCCGACTCGAATTTACTCAAAGTCGCTCAACTCAGTCTCGTGGATTTAGCGGGGTCTGAACGCACCAATCGCACCCAAAACACGGGACAACTGCTCAGAGAAGCCAGTCAGATTAACAATTCGTTGCTGTCGCTCCGAACCTGCTTGGAAATTTTGCGCGAAAACCAGCTAACCGGCGCCAACAGACTCGTGCCGTACAGAGACAGCCGCTTGACCCTCCTCTTCAAAAACTACTTTGAAGGTGAAGGTCGAGTGGTGATGATCGTCTGCGTCAACCCATCAGCTGAAGATTTTGAAGAAAATCTTCAAGTGATGAAGTTCGCGGAGACCACGCAAGACGTGAAAGTAGCCCGCGCTGAGCCCAAATTTACTCCACACAAGAAAAAGATTCAGAAAAAGCCAGCCACACCGTTCGCTTGCAAGAGCGGCGGGACGTTCACCCTCGGTCCGAAATTACCGGAAATTAAATTAAGTTTCAACAGTCTTGAAGAGAGTCAGGTGGCCCTTGAACGACTGCTCAACGTTCTGAAAACCCGGCGCCAGAAAATTAAGACCGCGGATGAGGAATTGGACCAGAAAGAAAACCACTTTCGCAAGAGATTGATTGAAATCTACCAGGAGAACATCCTGGGGAAGTCAGAAGTGAAAAGTATGAGGGCGCAGCTCAAGAAGGAGAAACAAAGGTGTACGAATGTTGAGTCAAAATTGGCAGACTTGGAGAGCAAAAACGGCGATCTTAATATGAAACTGAGGGACCATCAGGGGGAAATTTGCGCTCTGCGCAACACCATCGCAGAGAAGGATCTAAAAATAAATAAAAACATCTTAGAGAAGGAAAAAATCAAGCAAAAGATGGCGCTCCAGAACGAGAAAAAGGACCACGAGCTGGATGCTAAACTGAGACGACAGAGAGAGCATCTGCAGGCTGCTATGCGAGCTAAAGACAGCAAAATTCAAAAAGTGAAAGAGATTCTAGAGGGCGATTTTGCTCCTGTGGTGGTTGTGGAGACGCCTCCGGTGCAAGAATATGTCCAACCTCCAGAAACCCCAAAGCAACAAACTAGAAGACCCATTGGTACGCCAGCGTCTAGACAGCGCAGGTCACGTTCAGCCGGAGATGTAATACTAGTGTGATTTTTCAACCACATTTTCTATTATTTATTTTGTTTTAGGTGTGGCTGGAGCATAATTCAGTGAAACCTGTACCTTTGGGTACCGTGTTGCAACCGTCCATGAAAAAACGAAAGTCTGTCACTAAGCTGAGTAAAGCCAGTGATGTCACTAATCCCAAACAGAGTAAATATTGCCTGATTGCGCAAGAACAAGATGATGGGGGAGATGTTGAAACTAAAGTTTACAAGGGTGATATTGTGCCCACGTGTGGGGGTGGGGCGCAGGTCATTTTTAATGACGTGGAGAGGTTGAGGCAGGAATCACCGACAGCTGACATTAAATAGGCTTCTATACAGTTTTACATTATTATATAACGTTATTTCTTATTTGTAAGCACTATAGTTTGTACAAACTTTATTGATTTTTTATGTACTTAAAGCAAATAAATGTTTACATTTCATTTTTAAGTTTTGCAAATATTTTTGTAGTCCGGTTAACGTTACAAAATTGTGTTTAAAAAATAAGGTTTACAGCTGATTGTGATTCTAAACTTGTGTTGGCAAATCTGTTTTGTAAATGTTGGTTCCAAAATGATAGCCTAATAGTATGTACGTTTGTCAATTGTGGCATTCATAGCTAACTATATACTCGGGAGTTTTTTGATTTTTCTAGTCGTACAATATAATTAAAGCGTGCCCCTTTACAACAAATTAGAGTACGGAAATAACATCATTCTTCCTGGTATCTACTGGTCAACACAGTAGACATAGTTGGATTTGAATAAATAATAAATGAAGCAGAAGATGATAATAATTAGCAAATACTAATGCATAGCTTGGCTAAAAAAATGGAATTAAATCTGGCTATGATTTTTACTATTTTGTTGGCAAATCTTTGCCAATGTTGGTTAGAAGAGTGTTTTATTTTTTCTTTTGTTTCCGAGAGTAATACGATCATGCCCTATTTCGTGATTTTTCGACTTTTCGCAGGTTGTAGAATACGAAAATATCAGCGTTTTTCAGCTGTCTCTCTATTGATGATTTTTTAGATATAGTATACAAGGTGATTAAAAAATGGAGCACTATAACTCACTCAACAGTAAAATACGTTTTTAAGTTCATAAAATGTGAAAAATTAGCCACTGTTGTCAGATTCATTTTAAATAAGTTTTATTTTTTGTAATATTACAAAATGAAGAAATCATGAATGCAGAATTCCAAAATTATTTTGAATAATTGAAGTCCAAACTATTTCATGTACCCAAATAAATATGTTAGTGAGCAAAAAACAGTTTTATCTTTTTCAGATGTGTGATGTGATTGATGTGAATTTTTGTTAGATATAGCAGAAATTATAAAACTTTAGAATATGTGGGCTCATACTATACCGGAAAAATAGTAAAAATATTCCTTCTCACATTTTGGTGGAGTTATAATGATTTTAAAATTGGTTCTTTTGCTACGTTTAACAACTAAACAACACATTCATTATCACAATAACTAGCAATAAAACTGTTAAGTTAATATTTCTCTCGCCCATTACCATTTCAGTTAGAATGTACAGTTGGCTCCAGAAAAAAACAGGAACGGAATTTTTGTCCAATGTAAAATGTACCTGTCTCTTACTTGTCAATTTGACAAATCTGTTAAATATTTGTCACTATTTTGACACAAAATTTTTGTAATGTCATTACTCATTATTGTTCTAACCTATTTCAAAATAGTCCGGTTTAAACTAGAAAAATTCACACAGTAATCTGTCATATTAATTTGGACAGTTCCCGTTTTTTCTGGAACTAACTGTACAAAGATATGGATGTGACAATGTAAAAATTGTCAAAGTTTTCAAAACCCTACGTTTAGAATGTTCACAGTTCATTTTAGGCCCCTTGGTGTTTTATTTTCGGATAAATTTAAAAGAATCTGGTGTTTTGTTACTGGATGAACTTGAAAAAAATTTTTTTTGAGCTTTTAGTGTTTTATTTTTTTAATTCTTGAGTTCCCATGGTATATTATTTTGGGAGCCCATGGAGATTTTTTTTATAAATTACTTAAAACACTTTTGGGGACTTGGATGTTCTATTTTTGGAAAACTCTGACTTGACCTGTTTTTGAATTAATTTTGGGACCCCGTTTTTTTTTTGAAAAATTTTAAAAAATCTTGAGGTTCTAGGTATTTCTGTTTGAAAAGAATTTGAAAGTGCTTTGAAGCCTCTATTGTCTTTTTTTATAATAATTTAATTAAATTTCTTAGAGGATACGTCATTTGCTAAAATCAGTCTTATCTAAGTAGATACTAGCCCCAGCCGCCCGCCCTCTATTTTCTTAGAGTGTATCTCATTTGCCAAAATCAGTCTTATCTTAGCAGGTACTAGCCCCGCCCACCCACCCTGTCCATTCTTAGGGGGATCTCATTTGCTAAAATCAGTCTTATTTTAGCAGGTACTAACCCCACCCACCCGCCCTCTCTTTTCTTAGAGATCTCATTTGCCAAAATCAAAATCAGTTTTATCTTAGCAGGTACTCGCCCCGCACACCCGCCCTCTATTTTCTTAGCGGGTATGTCATTTGTCAAAATAGAGCTTATTTTAACAGGTACTAACCCTGCCCACCCATCACCCTCTCTTTTCTTAGAGGGTATCTCATTTACAAAAACCCAAATCAGTTTTATCTTAGCAGGTACTAACCCCGCCCACCCGCCCTCTCTTTTCTTAGAAGGTATCTCATTTGCCAAAATCACTCTTATCTTAACAAATAGTTTTATTCAAAGAATGTTAGGCACTGTCATTCTATCATTTATGACAAATCATATGTGATTCAAGCTTTACTGTCATTTTGACACTTTTCAAAAATTTGTTTCGTCAAACGATGCTTTGATATATTAATATCCGACATATATGACACTACTGTTAGTAAATTAAGGTTATCTAAATAAGGCACATTTTACAAGTTATGATTTTAGTAAACGACAACTGTCCAATATTTTTTGAATAAAACTGTACTAGCCTCGCCTACCCACCCTCTTTTTTCTTAGAGAGATTTCATTTGCCAAAATCAGTCATGATTTTAGCAAGTACTAACCCCGCCCACCCGCCCTCTCTTCTTTTAGAGGGTCCCCCTGATTTGCCAAAATCAGTTTTATCTTAGTAGGTAACCCAGCACCCGTCCTCTCTTTTCCTGGAAGGCATCTCATTTGTCAAAATCACTCGTATCTTAGCAGGTATGTAGCCCCGCCCACCCAGCCTCTCTTTTCTTAGAAGATATGTCATTTGCCAAAATCGGCCTTAATTTAGCAGGTACTAGCCCCACCCACCCGGCCTCTATTTTCTTAGCGGTATGTCATTTGCCAAAATAGATTTTTTTAATAGGTACTAACCCCGCCCACCCGCCTTCTGTTTTCATAAGGGGTAATTTCAAGTTGGATTTGCCAAATCGAAAGTGCCGTTGCTATAGACTTGCGAAATCGTAAATTCAATTTGAAATTGGCCCGTTTGACGGATCTCATTTGCCAAAATCAGTCTTATCTTAGCAGGTACTAGCCCCGCCCACCCACCCTCTCTTCTCTTAAAGGATCTCTCATTTGCCAAAATCAGCCTTATCTTGGCAGCTACTAGCCCCCCCCCACCCACCCTCTCTTTTCTTAGAAGCTATGTCATTTGCCAAAATCAGTTTTTTTCGGAATCTACATCATAAAGAATGTTTTTATTTATTTTTTTTTGACTCCCGAAACCGCCGTAAATAATGTGTACTGAAACCGCCATTTTTCATACACCCGGTATAAATAATCCAATAATTTTACTTTTTATCAATTTCTTTAATTAATATTTGTGACTTTGTTGTCAAGTTGGCGACATATTTAAAATTTTATAATGACATAGCTGATGTCAAATCGAAATTTTGGGCACCAATTCAGTGGCTGCAAGTGTTATTTGCCATGTTCTCATTGGTTTTTAGGCGCACTCATGTCAAAATTGACAACTGTGAATCGACATACTAACACTGCTGCTAATAATTCAGAATTACCAATCCAAAAATTTGGTCCAATCATTGATACCTAGTCACCCAGTACTCGCTAGTTTACGGAAAAAACTATGTTTTAACTGATTTAAATTAAAAGTGCTAAAACTGCTAAAAGTACATAACAAAAAAAAAAAAAAAACACACACAAAATACGTTCAAAACGAATCAATTTAATAATATCTCTAACCCAAGTGGTCAAATAATCTAAAAGAAAAATTAAACTTTGAAGGTTTTTGCTTTCTACATTTGGGTGTAACGATTTTTTAAATTATATTTTTTTCTTTGCTTAATAAACAGTGCTTACGTGTCGTAGCGTTAGTACGCCATTTTTGTATCATCCTGTATTTTTTAAATTATGGTGTAAATTTTAAACCTCTTATTTTAATTAAAATTTTTGGATTATACTGAGTGCTGACGGTAAAACTTAAATTTGTCGGTTCATTCCCTCTAAAAATTTCACTTTAAACATGATTTGATTTAATAAATCTACCTTCTATACGTTTATTTTATCATGAAAATAGTTTATCCAAAAAATCCGGAAATTAAATTTGATTTTGAACGAGCGACTCTGCATTTACAGCGTAATCAACAAATCCTGTTTGAGTTGGCAATTAATTAACCCATTATGGGATATTTTTCTTGCGCTATTACCCACCCTGCGCCAAATACTTGCGCGATGTCACTTTTGAGTTTTAAACGTTCAGAAAAGTTAGGTTATGACATTTTAGCAAAAATCAATAAAAAATTTTGACAACAGCAAACAAGGAGGGAGGTGACGGTTCTGCCAATTTCAAGCAAAATTTGCTTATGCCAACACAAACAGGAATTATTGACCACGTTTTACGTTAATTTGTCATTTATTTTATTCAAATGTACAGCGTTACTTAAAAAAGTTAAATCAAAATTTACGATTTATCTAAGAAACTATACAACGAACTTCCTATTCTACCAACGATACGGAACTGTCTACCCACAAAAAGTCTGTTATTCACGTTACACTCACTGTTCTTCTGATGCCAATCACTCTCGCTGTGGAGGCACCGTTTTTGTTTCTAAATAATAATAAAAAATGTCTTATTCACCCTTATTCTTAACTTTGAGCATACAGGTTATGGTAAGAAAGTTTAAATTGTAGGATAAAATTTTATGATTTGTCTTACAAAGTAGATGGCGAATTCTTCTGAAATCTTGAGACCTCACTAGATCGTATGAATAAACTTTGGTACATGATTTTACATCAACTAAAAAAAAAAAAACAAAAAACACAGAAATATACAGAATACAGCGAAAGCAGTCTGACATTATGGCGATTTTTTTCAAAATTCTTACCTTGATTAGGCTAGGACCTAACCCCAATTTGGCTCATGAATAAAAAAATGATTAACTGTATTTTCCTTTTTAAGAATGTTGAAAATCGCCTTGGTCGTCGTTTCCGCCCTCGTGGCCACCTCCTGGGGCTACTCCGCCGGAGCCCCCGAATCCGTCTGTGATGATATGACCCCAAAACACCCCGTGGACCCCCAGAAGCCCCCCCTCCCCTACACAATCGCAGTGAGCAAGAAAGAGGCCAAAGCCGGCGAAGTCGTCGAGATCACGATCGGCGGCAAGCCCTTCAAAGGGTTCTTGCTGCAAGTCAGGAACGGCGACAAAGCCGTCGGAAGCTTCGACATCGCCGACACCGACAAGTACGCGAAAGCCATCAACTGCCACGGCACCGCTGGAGTAAGTGATCAATAATTAAAATGAGTTTTTCGCTTAATACTTTTATTTAGAGCGCTGCCACACATAAAAATGCTGTTGACAAGAACAATCTCGTTTTGAAATGGAAAGCTCCAGAAGGTTCAGGGAATTATCAAATTTTGTAAGTAAATCTGAGCAGGTGTTCTGTTATAATATCTGTGTGTATGTGTGTTTCAGCGTGACTGTAGCTGAAGATGGTGGAACCTTCTGGGCGGCTCAGCCAAGCCAAAAAATCAAAATCAATTAGTTTAGGTTCTATACAATAACCAGATGTAGTTAACATTGTAATTAGCGTCCCTTTTTTAACAATAGTATTTTATTAACAACTGTGTCTGTGAGTGTAGTTTAACAATAAAACCTACTTGGATAAAATTAAGACTTTATTAATGACGCAGTGGGCCTACAGGTATGAACTGAACAAAATCAATACTCGTTTGTCCACACAATAGTGAAACCTTCCACAATTTAAGTAAACTAAAAAAAAACAACTCAACAGAACTTCCACCTGTTACCACACTCATTACACAGAACGAACGTTGTCATAGGTTCATCAGCCGACCTTGTTTGAACCTGGTTATATGTACAATTCCTCTTCTTACACTTACCGCACTTCAATAGATCCGTCTTGGTACCTTGCACGGTGGCTAGTTGTGCATCGTTAATAGCCTCTTTCGTAAACTTCTCCCTCAACTGTTTGATTTCGTCGTTGGCCATTTCTTCAGCGGTCATGACTGCCAATCTAGCCGCTGAGATTGCGCCAATCCTGAAATTGGTCCGCAGGTTGGGATTTTTCACGTCTTTGAGGTTAGCTATGCGGGAACGAATCCGATTTTTATACCGCATATCTGTGTTTTTGAATTCTTGAAATATCGCTTCTTCGAGCTCTTCAGCGAGGTCCTCCGGCGTTGCACATCCTGAAAACGATTCAAAGTGAGTGACAGTGTGACAACCAATAGAAAGTGGCGATTAAATCAAGTGATCGTGAAAGCTGTTCCTATTGGTTATCGACGAATTAAATAACCAATGAAAAAATTTTAGCAATTTTTTCCAAATGTCAAACAAAAAATTGTCATTTTTTATGCAGTTATTTGTTCGTTTTAAAATTATGAATGCCGTCTTGTTGGGTATAAATACAATGTGGCAAAAAGTTGTTTCCTTTGATGTTCCGTAATGGACTGACCCCTGTCACGCACTACCAATTTAATATGTACCTTCAAAGTCGTCGTTGTCTGATTTGATAGCCGCCGCCAGCATTTCCCTGCACTTGAGTCTGACGGCGTCTGTTGTGTTTGAACTGGCTGGAGGGAATTGACTCGGTAGCTTTCGATCCCTGTCTCGATCCTTCTCCTCACGGCTGCTCCTATCCTCTCTGTCTTTTTTCGGTTTCGACGAGCCACTGCTTGTTTCTTTGACGTTGGAACCCGAGAGGAATTTCTTCCAGTTTTTGATGAGGGTTTTCGACAGGCTGATAACCTCGTCGTCTTTACTGGACTTCCTGAGCGCGTTTACTGTCATTCCAATGCGCGTTTTTGTGAGCACTTCCAAGTTTATGTTTAACGTTTGTAACTGTTTTAGTAAATCGAGCGCTTGCTCTTGACCCTACAACAACAAAATTTGAATTTCCCTCCACTTTCAGTCATGAGGTGGGTTTGATCCAAACAAAAATAGATACGACCAGTTTTGCAAAACACACCCAAAAATGAGCCGGTCTTTGGTAGGTGACTCGCGACGGTTGGATTTGCAGGGGATTTTCTAGTGTGATTTACAAAACTGGAAAAACGTACACTTCCGTCTTCCGAAGTCATTTTATTTAGTTTCTTCTGGATTCGCAAAACTTCCTCTTCTATGTTCATTTTCGTGCGGTGAATTTGCGACCACAATGAATAAATAACGTGCAAAAGTCCTGATTTTAAGGAACCCACAACAACGCTTCCCTCTTGCAAGCTTTACGTGGATTGAAAACTGGGGTGGGGGAGGGACTACAATGACCAACGAACTTTCGAGTGCGCGTGCGCACGAGCATGCGCACAAACAACAAATTGACAGCTGTCAACTTCAACCCGTCATCGATTCGGAAAATTCAAAAACCGAACATGAGTAGATACAAGACCCTAAATAGGTGAAAATGTACAGAATTGTGAGAACCGTGGCAAGGATGAAGTTGAGTTTCCCCAAAAAATTTCCACCCTCTCAAGTATGACACATCACAATTTTTTTTTTTTGTTAAATCATGATGGAATTTCAGCTGAACCCTAAACGCTTTCTGGGGGCACACTTATGTCTGAAGCGCCACGTATCCACCTACAAACCCGAAAACGTCTACCTAGTGGACGAAGACGACACCTCAGGTAGCGACATAAGCAATAACGTAAATAAATACACGCAACGAACGCACACTTGTGGTGACCTAAGAAGCGACAATGTAGGGGAAAGGGTGGTCTTATGCGGCTGGTTGGAGTTTCAAAGAATGAACAAATTCGTCGTCTTGAGGGACAGCTATGGCGTTACTCAACTCATTATCTCGGAAAAAGTAATTAATTTAATACACACAACCAAAGTTATTGGTAGAGTTGCAGGACTCGAAAACGCAAAAACTGCTGCAATCTTTGCCCCTTGAAACTATCATTCAGGTGAAAGGCACCGTCCTATCGCGCCCTGATGGCATGAAAAACAAAAGTCAGCTCACAGGCGACGTGGAAGTCCATGTGGAAGAATTCACAGTTCTTAATAAGTCAAAAGACAATCTCCCTTTCAATATTAGAGAGTTCCAGAAAGCCAAGGAGGCTCTACGTATGCAATACCGTTATTTAGACCTGCGCTTTCCTTTAATGCAACGCAATTTAAGAGTGCGCTCTGAAATGTTGATGAAAATGCGCCAGTTTCTTGTTAATTATGGCGGGTTTGTGGATGTTGAAACCCCCACGTTGTTTAAAGCCACACCTGGTGTAAGTATATTCGCGTACGCAAAATTTAAAAAAGACTTTCGAGTTTAGTGAAGAGGGCGCCACTAGTGGTGTGTTTCAGGGCGCGCAAGAATTCTTAGTTCCGACGCGATTTCCGGGCCAATTTTACTCGTTAGTTCAGAGCCCGCAGCAATTTAAGCAGATGCTGATGGCCGGAGCGATCGACAGGTATTTCCAAATAGCTAGATGTTATAGGGACGAGGGGGCCAGGCCCGACCGCCAGCCCGAGTTCACCCAACTAGATATAGAAATGTCTTTCACTAACTTAGACGGCATTTTGCTTCTTGTAGAGGAGTTGTTAGGGTATTCATGGCCGCGATTTTTAGAACCTTTGCCAAAAAAATTCCCAAGACTCACATTTCATGACGCGATGGAGTTGTACGGGTCTGACCAACCAGATGTGAGGTTTGATTTCAAGGTACAAGTGTCAAATTTCGAAATTTGTTACTAATAAAGGTGTTGTAGTTGCAAAATTGCACCGAAATTGTCAAACTGAACAACAAGTTGGTTAATTGTGACGATTTTGGTGCTTATTGTGTAGTGTTTCCTAAAGAGTATGCAAACTTGGATAAACCAATCAAAGAGCACCTAAGTGAAGGTAGCAAACAGTTCCCTTTGGTTAAATTCGTCCAAACCAAAGTAACAACGCCCAAAGAATTCGTGTCAAAAATATCAAAATTGTTAACTGAACCCGTAGCAGCGAAACTAACTGGACACATTAATTTAAGCGACGATTCTATCGTATTTTTAGCATATGGCAATAAAACCCAGGCCGTAAGTAGCTCGAACTGCTACAACTATCATTGAAAACGCGATTTTAGCAAAAATTAATGGGTAAAGTCCGGGTTGACTATGTAGATTACCTAGAAAAACTGAGTGTAACCATCCGAAAAAAAGGAATGCACTTGCTTTGGGTCGTTGACATGCCTTTATTTGAACCCAGTGATGTACCAAATGGCCTTAAATCCGCTCATCATCTTTTTACAGCGCCGAATGCCGCCGATGTTCATTTGCTAGAGTCAGCACCGTTGCAGGTTAGTCAATGTTTCGCTTGTGAGTGGAGATATCCACAACTCGTAATTTTCAGGTCAGGTCCTTATCGTTCGATCTGGTTCTCAACGGCAATGAAGTGGGTGGTGGTTCCGTCCGTATTCACGATCCAAATCTCCAGGAGAAAGTTTTTGATATGTTGGGGATTGATAAGAGTAGTATGCAGCATATTATAGATATGCTGTCGTCGGGGTGTCCGCCCCATGGCGGTATCGCCCTGGGGCTTGACCGGTTGTTGTCGAAAATTATGGGGACGGCGAGCATCCGTGATGTTATCGCTTTCCCCAAAACTTTTGAAGGTCGAGATCCGCTGAGTGGAGCGCCTTCGCCTGTGTCAGAGGAAGATCAAAAGCTTTACAATATTAAGAGTATTTTCCCTGTTAAGTGAAAAGTATTACTTTTATATTTTTAATATAAAGAGCGCTTTTAGTTTGCTTGGTTTATCTTTTCTGACCACTTATATGCGCATGAAAGAGCACTTCGTTGTTGAACAAGAATAAATAAGACCTATTAAACAGATGGGGAAAACTAACCTCAAAAGTCAAAAACATGTTCCCTTATTATTATTAAATAATTTGCCTCTAATACCCTTAAAAGACACCATAAGCAGTTTACATAAACGTGTTTGCTTCTGAGGATGATTTTTTAATTAGTTATATACCAAATATTTTATATTAACAACTGTAGTCAAATGTTTTGAAAATTTGCAGAAGAATCTTGTAGCTCTACTGTATTATTATTTTATTATAGATTGTTACCAAAAAAGGTAATATTGATAGAATGAACGGCAGTTTGACATTATCAGATTTTATCAGATTCTCCTAGATTCTATTAGATTGTTTCAGATACTTTCGAATTCTCCTAAGTTCCATCAAATTCTCTCAGATTCTCCCAAATTCTATCAGATTTTATCACATTCTTTCAGATACTTTAAGATTCTCTCAGATTTTCCCAAATTCTATCAGATTCTTTATAAGATTCTTTCATTATTTTCTATCAAATTCTATTAGATTTTATCACATTGAATCAGATTATTTCAGGTTCTCTCAAATTCTATCAGATTTTTTAAGATTCTATCAAAGTCTTTCAGATTCTTCCAAATTCTATCAGATTGTTTCAGATACTTTCGGATTCTCCTAGGTTTCATCAGATTCTCCCAAATTCTGTCAGATTTTATCAGATTCTTTCAGATTATTTCAGATTCTCTCAAATTCTATCAGATTTTTTAAGATTCTATCAAACTCATTCAGGTTCTTTCAGATTCTCCTAGATTCTATCAGATTGTTTCAGATACTTTCGGATTCTCCTAAGTTCCATCAAATTCTATCAGATTCTCCCAGATTCTTTCAGATTATTTCAGATTCTCTCAAATTCTATCAGCTTTTTTAAGATTTTATCAAATTCATTCAGATTCTTTGAGATTCTTTCAGTTTCTATCAGATTCTGCCACATTTTATCAGATTCTTTCAGATGCTCTCAGACTCTAGCAGATTCATTCAGATTCTTTCAATTTTTTATCAGACTCTATGAAATTCTATCAAATTCATTCAGCTGTTTCAGATGCTTTCCGATTTTCTCAGATTCTACCAGATTGTTTCAGATACTTTCAGATTCTCTCAAAATCTCTTAGATTTTCCCAAATTCTATGAGACTTTATCAGATTCATTAAGATTCTTTGAGTTTTTATCAGATTCTCTCATATTTTACCAGATTTAGGTAGGTAATCGGATTGTTTCAGATACTTTCAGATTACTTCAGATTCTCTCAAAATCTCTTAGATTTTCCCAAATTCTATCAGATTCTTTCAAATTTCATAAAATTCTTTCAAATTACATGAAATTCCTTCAAATTGTTTCAGATTCCTTCATATTCTTTCAGATTCTCATGTATTCTCTCAGATTCTATCGGATTTTCTTAGATTCTGTCGGATTCTTTCATAACTTTCAGAATCTCTCAGATACTATCAAATTCTACCAGATTCTTTCAAATTCTATTTTTTCAGTTATTTCAGACTTTATAGATTTTCTCAAATTGCATCACATTCCTTCAAATTTCAGATTCCTTCATATTCTATCAAATTCTACCAAAATCTTTTTGATTCTTTCCATTTCTATGATTTCTAGTTCTTTCAAATTTCTGTTCTTTCCAATTCTTTCAGATTATCTCGGATTCTCGTGGATTATCTGGTTGTATCAGATTCGTTCAGATTCTCCCAAATTATATCATTCTTTCAGATTCATTAAGATTCTTTCAGTTTCTCTCAAAATCTCCTAGATTTTCCCAAATTCTATCAGATACTTTAAGATTCTTTCAGTTTCTATCAGATTATATCAAATTTTATCATATTCTTTCAGATTCTATCAGATTCATTAAGATTCTTTCAGTTTCTATCAGATTCTCTCATATTCTATCAGATTTAGGTAATCAGGTTGTACCAGATTGTTTCAGATACTTTCAGATTCTCTCAAAATCTCTTCGATTTTCCCAAAATCTGTCAAATTTTTTCAGATTCTTACAGTTACTATCAGATTCTTTCAAATTTTATTCTTTTCAGTTGTTTGAGATCCTTTTAGACTCTCTCAGATTCTTTCAAATTCTATTTATTTTCAATTCTTTCAGATTATTTTATTCTTCAAATTACATCAAATTCTGTCGAATTCTTTCAAATTTTTTCACAGCTTTCAGAATTTCTGATACTACCAGATTCTTTCAAATTCATTTTTTTTCAGTTATTTCAGATTTTGTGGGTTTTTTTCAAATTACATCAAATTCCTTCAAATTGTTTCAGATTTCTTCAGATTCTCGCAGATTCTCTAAGGTTCGTCCATATTCTTTCAAATTGTGTAAATTCTTTCCAATTTTTCAGATTCCTTTATGTTCTCTCTTTTTAGATTGTTGCAAATTACATTAAACTACTGTTTCAGATTCCTCACATTCTTTCAGATTATCTCGGATTGTCGTGGATTCTCTGATTCTATCAGAATCTTTCAGCTACTTTCACATTCTTTCAAATTCATTCAGATTCTCCCAAATTCTATCAAATTCTTTAAGATTCGTTCAGTTTTTATCAGATTTTATTAGATTCTTTCAGATTCTTGCAGTTTCTATCAGATTCAGTGAGATTCTATTAGATTCTATCAGATTCTTTCAGATTGTTTTAAATTCTATTCTTTCCATTTTTCAGATTTTTTTAGATTCTTCCAGATTACATCAAACTCCTTTGAACTGGACTCTTCGATTTTTCGGATTCTTCCAGATCTTTCACATTCTGTCAGATTCCATCAAATTATGTCAGATTCTATGAGATTCTTTCAAATTCTGTTCTTTCCAAGTCCTTCAGGTTTTTTAAATTTTTTCAAGTTACATCAAATTCCTTTCAGTTTCTCTCACATTCTTTCAGATTCTCTCGAATTTTCTCAGATTCTAATGGGTTCTTTCGGATACTTTCAGATCTTTCATATTTTTTCAGATTCTTTCAGTCTGTCAGATTCTTTCAAATTCTATTCTTTCCAATTCTTTCAAATTACATCAAACTTCTTTAAACTGTTTTAGATTCCTTCAGATTCTATCAAAATAATCTTTTAAATTCTTTCCATTTCTATTACTTCCAATTCTTTTAAATTCTATTCTTTCCAATTTTTCAGATTCTTTTAGATTACTGCAAATCGCATCAAATTATTTCATATTGTTTCAGATTCCTTCATATTTTTTCGGATTCTCTCGGATTTTCTCAGATTCTTTCAGATTTTTTTGATTTTTTCAAATTACATACTCGAAATTGTTTCAGATTCCTTCACATTCTTCTTCTCGGGGGCCCCAAATGTATTTTTTTAAGAATGTGAAATCTTCTCGGGGATCCCAAATGTCTTTTTTTTATGTGAAACCTTCCCTGGGATCCTAACTACCTTTTTTAAAAATGCAAAACCTTTTTGGGGGCCCCAAATGTATTTTTTTAAGAATATGAACCCTTCTTGGGGTCCCATGGGTCGTTTTTTTTAAATGTAAAATCTTCTCGGGGGTCCCAAATGTTTTCTTTTTTATCTTAAACCTTCCCTGGGGTCCCAACTGTTATTTTTAAAAATGTAAAACTTTCTCGCGGGCGCCAAATATCTTTTTTTATGTGAAACGGGATCTGGGGTCCCAACTATCTTTTTTGAAAGTGTAAAACCTCGAGGGCGCTACATTTTATATTTTTTCAGAGAAGCAGTAAATATTTGTTGGACTGTACTTCAGAAGCGAGGGAAGTTCGATCGAAATAACTTCCGACCAATTTTTTTTAATGTGAAATAACCTTTGGAACCCTTGGTATTTTATTTTAGAAACAATAGTCTGAAAGAATCTTGCATTATTGATTGTCACCAAAAAAGGTAAAATTGACAGAATGAACGGCAGTTTGAGATTGACTGTTGGCTGACGCAAGCGCATTAATACTGATATGTAAATTGCGGTTCTGGTGGACCTTTGGTAACAGAAACAAAATTTCGGGGGCTGTTTGCGAACAAACAGAGGTAGTGTCGGCTACGAGTGTCATTCCTGAAATAAAATTCGATTTGATTGTTAGGTTTTAATAATTAGAGAGGTGTAAGAACACAGTTTTCATTCATTAATATAAAATAAAATCTATGTGTGCACATCAGTCTGGAAATGTATTATTATTAAAAAAGAGCCTAGTCTATCACAAAAACAAATACTGATAGCTTGAAATGTATTAGAAACAAGACCCTTATTACATGAATTGAAACGACTATGATTAAAAACACGATTTAATGTTAATTTCTACAATTATTATCACATTTACCACCAATTCTTTAAAACCGACTTGACAAGCCCTTGTTGAAAAAAATGCAGAGTTTTATTATAAAAATAATTTATATAAATTTATAAACGATACATAAAAACCTATAGAGGGAACAAATTATTTACAAACGTACTTGATTCGCCCCAAAAGAACACACAGGTACACAAATTCAATGTTTTAAAAAATTCGTTTTAGGTCCTACTGCAAAAATTTAAGACTTACACTACATTACATCTTAGTTCCGAATTGTCGAAAAATCACACTAAAACTGGAAGGGAGCTAAAATGCAATGATCCCCGCATTCGCACAATGGACGGTCTTAAACTTTTTCAGTTTCACTGAGGGTTTGACGAACGCAAAATGACTGTTTACGTATCCTCGAGACTCGGAAGCCAAAATGCCATGTTTGTGCAGGCCGACGCCAGCATCATGTACTTGGGATTAAACTGGACGCACTGAACCGGGCCCGGGTGATCGGCATTCAAAACGCAAACTTTGTAACCCGTGTCGGCGTTCCACACGTGGACGCGACCGTCGGTCGACCCGCTGAAAATGAACTGCGAATCGGGGCTGAAAGACGCCTCGATGGGGATACCCTTGTTGTTGAGGTGGCCCGTGAAGGTTTGCAATGGGGTACCGTGGAAAGCGTCAATTAATCTAATTATTGAACCATTTGTACTTATGAGGATAGTTTTACCATCGCGCGAAAACTTCAACCCTGTCCAGTCGCATTCCTTCTCCTGGGTCAGCTTGAAGGTGACAAAGGGACCCTGAAAATAATTAATAAAAAAATGATTTTTACTGGGTGTTATTATTACCTTATCGAATGAGCGCAAGTCGTACAATTTGATGCTCTCCGAGTTGACCCCCGCCGCGAAGATGAGCCCCTCGGGGTCGTACGCCGCCACGGGTCTCCCAGACAGATGCATCAACCCCTGACAGTTCGGGGACCTTAGGTCCCACAGTCTCAACGTTTTGTCCAAGGAACCTGATAGGAACGTGTCTTCAACTGGCGACAGACACAAGGACACGACTTTTTTCGTGTGTCCCGGGAAGTAACGGATGTACTTGTTATCGTGTAGGGATAGGTATCGGATGGTGTCATCCACTTTGGTTGAACTATGTATGGCTGTGTTTTTTGCGTGTGTGAAATGTATGAGGTCAACACCATATTTTTTACTGTTCACAGTCCTGACTTGTGTGCCCTTCTCGCAATCGTAGATTACGATCTGGTCGTCTTCACTGCATGATATTAGCGTCTCGCCGCTCGGGGAAAAGTCAATACTGTTAATTTTGTCCGTATTTTCACGGAACACTTTCGCTACGCGAAAACTCCTAACTACTTGGTCTACCAGTTTCATCTTCATCTGAGAGGCCGTTTTTGGGTCGTTTCCTGGCAATTAGTTGATAAATTTAAGGGAAAACGTAAACTGTTTCCCAACCCAAACAAAGAATATGGCGGAAGAAGGTTGGCAACCAGCCGCATCCGGTCACTTCGCAACGTGTACGGCGAGAGAGGGGCACCACGTAAACACGACGATCGAGAAAAATACACTTTTTTTGTGGACGAAAGAACAAGAGCTCAGTTTATTTATTTGCGACATTATCGTGAAATATATACGTATTAGTTGCTGATTTGACTTCCACTGTCACTCGAAATGTCAAACTACCAACACCAATCCCAAAAGTCACTAGACATTTTTTGACATATTCAAAATAATTTTCTAAAACGACTTTAATTTTGCACAATTTTACACTATTACAACATTAACGAACGAATAATTAGTGGTATGCAAATTTTGGGTAATTTTTTATCTATAGTCACCCCACCGCTTCATTATTGACATACTTTTTTCCAGATTCACCAAAATTTTAAGAAAAACAGTTTTACTAGATGGTATCTGCATACTGGGTGATGGGTAATAAAAAGTTCAAAATTACCATAAGGAAAGGCGTGTACTACCGTGTGAAAGTAGTGCTCTAGTTTCTAATGTCACAGATCCTAACCTTACAAATTTAGTCGGCAGCAGCTGGATGTGCATGTGCCGTGTCAGTTCGGATCCTGTGTAATTTTTCTAAAAATTGCACCAGATAGTGCAACATTCCGTACATTGGGAGCGAACAAGAGTTCAAAGTTTACCATAAAGTGTGTGAGTTAACCGGTAAGTACATGTCATACGTGCCCATATGTTATATGTTATTTTTTATGACCATAACCCCTTTCTTCTTTGTCCTTTACTTTTATACCATGATGGGTCGTACCATTCATATATTTCTACTCTTGATTGCAGTGTTATAGTATAGCTGTTTTCATTTTTTTTTCTTCCAACACTTTGTTAATTCTCTTTTTTTCAACCCCATTTTAGTCATTTGAATGTTTATTTCCATGGTTTGTGTTCTTCTTTTATGTTATTTGTTCATACTTACTCTGTTTGTAATCTCGGAAATGGTAAAAGATTTTCGTGGTAAAAAGTCTTCATTATTATATTCTTTAATAATTACTAAATAATTCTGAAGAAACTGTTAATATCTTTATCATTTTTGATAACCAAAAACATCCTTTTTGACTTCAAGATACTAAATGACAAACATAACTGAGACTTTAAGGGCGTTCCTACGCTAAAATTGGCAAGAAGTAGCGCCGGCTTGGTCGAAACCCGAAACTACATAAGAATCAATGCTAAACTAGTCTTTTAGTACTGTCGCAGAGAGCTAGTTGTTTTATTTTACATGATTTGTCGATTTTAGCGCAAAACACCCTTAAGCAGTAAGTAATTAATAATACATTTCTCAGAAACTTTCGCTATGGACACTTCCATGACCGCAAAAGACGTCCGAAACGCCTACATCAAAATCTCTTAGTTTTTCCCAAATTCTATCACATTCTTTAAGATCCTTTCAGTTTCTAACAGATTCTATCAAATTCAATTAGATTCTTTCAGATTCTACCAGATTCCTTCGGGTTCTCTCAGATCCTCTCAGATTCTTTCGAATTCTATTATTTTCAATTCTTTCAGATCAATTTATTCTGCAAATTACATCAAATCCCTTCAGATTGTTTCAGATTTCTTCATATTCTTTCAGATTCACTTGAATTCTCTCTGATTCTCTCAAATTCTGTCGGATTCTTTCATAGCTTTCAGAATCTCTCAGATACTATCAAATTCTATTTTTTTCAGTTATTTCAGATTTTATATATTTTTTCAAATTACATCAAATTCCTTCAGATTGTTTCAGATTTCTTCAGACTCTCGCAGATTCTTAAAGATTCGTCCATATGTCTTCAGATTGTTTAAATTCTTTCCAATTTTTCAGATTCCTTCATATTCGCCCAGATTCTATCAAAATCTTTTAGATTCTTTCCATTTCTATTATTTCCAGTTCTTTCAAATTCTATTATTTCCAATTCTTTCAGATTGTTGCAAATTACATCAAATTGTTCCAGATTCCTTCACATTCTTTCAGGTTATCTCGGATTCTCGTGGATTCTCTAATTCTATCAGGTTCTATTAAATTCTGTCAGATTCATTCAGATTTTTTCAGATTGCTTTAAATTCTATTCTTTCCATTTTCTCAGATTCTTTAGATTCTTTCAAATTACATCAAAATCCTTTGAATTGGATTCTTAAAGATAAAAAAGATCTTCATGGTAAAAATCTTCATTATTATATTCTTTAATAATTACTAAATAATTCTGAAGAAACTGTTAATATTTTTATCATTTTTAATAACCAAAAACATCCTATTTGATTTCAAGATACTAAATGACAAACATAACTACGACTTTAAGGGCCTTCCTACGCTAAAATTGGCAAGAAGTAGCGCCGGTTTGGTCGAAACCCGAAACTACATAAGAATCAATGATAAACTAGTCTTTTAGTACTGTCGCAGAGAGCTAGTTGTTTTATTTTACATTATTTGTCGATTTTAGCGCAAAAACACCCTTAAGCAGTAAGTAATTAATAATACATTTCTCAGAAACTTTCGCTATGGACACTTCCATGACCGCAAAAGACGTCCGAAACGCCTACATCAACTTCTTTAAAGAAAAAAATCACCAATATGTCCACTCCTCCTCGACAATTCCACTGGACGATCCAACTCTACTTTTTACAAACGCCGGTATGAACCAATTCAAACCCATCTTCCTGGGTACTGTCGACCCCAACAGCGACCTATCCAAACTCACCAGAGCCGTCAACTCCCAGAAATGCATCCGTGCCGGGGGCAAACACAACGACTTAGACGACGTGGGCAAAGACGTCTACCATCACACGTTTTTCGAAATGATGGGCAACTGGTCCTTTGGTGACTACTTCAAAAAGGAAATTTGTGCATGGGCTTGGGAGTTGCTCACCCAGCGCCTACACCTACCACCTGAGCGCTTGTACGTCACTTACTTCGGAGGGGATAAAGCCGCCGGTTTAGACCCCGACAACGAATGCAAGCAGATTTGGCTGGATTTAGGCGTCCCAGTGACTCATGTTATCCCTGGTAGCATGAAGGACAACTTCTGGGAAATGGGCGAAACGGGACCTTGCGGTCCCTGCTCTGAGCTACACTTTGACAGGATTGGTGGACGCGAGGTTCCAGAGCTCGTCAATCAGGACGATCCCGACGTGCTAGAAATCTGGAATCTCGTGTTCATCCAGTTCAATCGCGAAAGCGACGGAAGTTTGAAGTCTTTGCCCAAAAAACACATTGATTGTGGGTTGGGTTTGGAACGTCTGGTGTCAGTAATGCAGAATAAACGCTCGAATTATGACACTGATTTGTTCTTGCCTTTGTTTGATGCGATTCAGAAGGGGACAGGGGCGCCGGCTTATGGTGGTAAAATCGGGGACGACGATAAGGATGGCGTTGATATGGCGTACCGAGTGCTGGCCGATCACGCACGGACTTTGACGATCGCGTTGTCGGATGGAGGTAACCCTGACAATACTGGAAGAGGGTAGGTCAAAATTTATTTTGTAGTATTGTAAGGATAAGTTAAGTGTCAATTTCGCAGGTACGTGTTGAGGAGGATTTTGAGACGTGGTGTCAGATACGCCACTGAGAAATTGAATGCTAAACCCGGGTTTTTCGCCACTCTTGTCAACACAGTAGTGGAGATTTTGGGCGATATTTTTCCAGAAGTGCGTAAAGACCCACAAAGTATTATTGATACTATTAATGAAGAGGAGGAGCAGTTTTTGAAGACGTTGTCCCGAGGGAGGAATTTGTTGAATAGGACTATTCACAAGTTGGGTGATTCCAAAACTCTGCCTGGGGATGTCGCTTGGCGTCTGTATGATACGTACGGTTTCCCGGTTGATTTGACCCAATTAATGGCTGAAGAAAAGGGGCTCAGTGTGGATATGGGGGTGTACGAGGAGTCGAAAAAACAAGCACAAATCGCTTCACAGGTTTGTTTTTTTTTAACCCCCCAAGGGTAAACAGGGAATTCATTTGTTGATCCATTCCAAAAACTTGATGACGTCATCTCAAAATTTTATTAACTAAATCGCGCTTTAAATAGTGTATTTTGCCCCTTTCGGAGTTTTCATCAGATGGTTTCAATTATTCAAAATATAAATATGTTCATCTGGTGTTATCACTTTCTTTAATGTTGTTGGTTGCGAGCAATGACGGTGAAAAAATTCAAGTTGATAACAACTGTAATGTTTACTTATTGGCATCTTTTAAACTTGGCGTAGATGTCGATAAAAAAGGAGAAGCGCCTCAGAGGTGAAAACTTCTCCGAGGAAGATAAAATGTTTATCGTCCAATTCGTCGCTGATAATTCCGGGGTATTGGAGTCCAAAGTCGTCAATCCGAGGATAAATGAGAAAAAACAGCACCTATGGAAAATTTTATCGAAAAAATTGGAGGCACGAGGGCAATACCGGGAGCCCTCGAAGCTCAAAATGTTGTATTTCCGGCTAAAGCAACACGCTAAAACCGTCATCGGAGCCTATCGCAAGTCTCTAAACCAAACCTGCGTAGAAAAGCCAACTGAGTTAGACTGGGCCATTGCAGATATATCTGCAGCAGATTTTAATGAATATATATCAGAGTCAGACAGGACGGGCGCTGTTGAGCCCCAGGTTGCAAATGGCAGCGAAGAGGTTCCAGATTTTGTAGACCCCGTAACTGGAGATACCTTTTTACTAGAAAAGTATGTAATTTTATGTTGAAAAGACAAATACAGAATTGCAAAAGTTGTAGCCTCCTCGAGTCGCAGCTTTCAGAAGCAATGCCGTCCACCTCCAGAAAAAGGATGAGTGAATTCGAGGAAGAAATGCTGAAATTGCATGAGCAACATATGGCGCAGAAAATTAAAAATGAAAAGGAAATTTATACAAAGCAGTTGGAACTTTTGAGTTTCAAAATTCAAGCTAAAAAATTAAAATTGGAGCTGCTCAAAAAACAAGTTGGGCAATTGTAGGTTATTAGTTAAATTATTGTTAATTACATTATTGCATTTCGAATAGTAAAGTAAGTAAAATTCATGGTGGTGTAAAGTCTTTATTGTAGTGGATATTTTTGTATTCGACTTGTCAACATAACCTCCAATTATTTGTTAGACACTAGCTACGCCATACGTTCAGGAAACATTTGAGAACTCAAATTTTCTAATTTTTAAAGAAGCATGATCTGTTGGACTGTACTTTAGCCATTGACAAAAATTCGGGTAATTATTCCCACCAACAATGGGATGACGTCATCTCCAAAATTTACCATAGTAAATGTTACTTAAATTTGATAAAATAACATCTCCTGCACTTGTGGTTTATGAATCCGTGTTAAGTTCTTTACCTAAGACATACAGATTTTTGAAAAAAAAATTGTATAACATTTTGCAATTTAACTTTGAAACTTTAAAATAGGCCTCCCGTTTCCGCCTGTCTGTCTGTATCCGTTTGTCTGTCGTCCCGATTTTTATAAGACAGATAAGCTCCGAAAGTAATATGTTGCCGTTAACGTTGGGTTTTCAACCAATCAAATTGCGATAGTGTGCAGTGCTGCCAACTTGAAGGAAAATCCCCCGAAGTAAGGAGGACATTTTTCTGGGTGACAGCACTAATTCAACGAAAATTATATTTTGATAAAGATAATGAGGTCCACTAATATTACGTCATTTAAACACCTGTTTACCGAAACCCTCATTTTAAATAGCTGCCATCATTTTCTACACTGTAGCTTTCTGTCACCACTTACGCATTGGTAAAGATGTTTTCAAACGTTTAAATCAACAAGATTTGTTGCTGTTCGTCTCAAAAATAGATTAGGTATTATAAGAGCTTATATTTGCCCTTTTTTCTTAATATGTGTAATCTTTTTTTCACAACAAGAAAGGTAAAACATGTTGAAAATGGTACTTTTTTGTAGAAAGTATCGATTTTCTAATTAGGCTCCGCCCCTGGGTCTGACAACGAATGAAAAATTCATCACATCTGAGCTTGGAATGGATATGGGTGGGGCTTAATTTTTGGCTTGTTTTTTATTTCTTGTAGAGAAATAAGAATTTTACAATTAAGCTCCGCCCCTCGGCTTACGACGAATAAAAAAAATCATCAGAATTAAGACAGGGCGGGTGGGCGGGGCTTACATTTTATCTTTTTTCTTGCTTTTCGTAGTCGTCTTTCCAGAACAAGAAGCTTAAAACATGTTTAAAATGGTAAATTCTTGTAGACAAATACGGATCTTGCAATTAATTCCCGCCCCTCAATCTGACAACGAATGAAAAGTTCATCACAATTGAGAAATTGTTTAATTTTTGGCTTTATTTTTTTTGTTAATCTACATAGTATTCTTTGAATAACACAATACTCAAAAACATGTTTTTAATTTCTCGTAGAGAAATAAGGATTTTGCAGTTAAGCTCCGCCTTTTTGGCTTACGACGAATAAAAAAAATCATCCGAATTGAGATAGGGTGGGTGGGCGGGGCTTATATTTTGGCTTTTTTTTCTTAATATACATAGCCATTTTTTCACAACAAGAAACTTAGAACATGGTTATTTTAATGGTACATGTTTGCAAGGAAATCTGGATTTAGCAATTATTTGCAAAATCGATATTTCCTTATTCCAATTTTCCATTTTAAACATGTTTTAAGTTTCATGTTGTGAAAAGAAGTCTACACATTATTAAAACAAAAAGGCAAAATATAAGCCCACCCACCCGCCCTATCGATATTGTGATGATTTTTTTTTATTCACCGAGAACCAAGGGAGCGAAACTTAACTGCAAATACTTATTTCTTTACAAGAAATTAAAAACATGTTTTTGAGTATCGTGTTGTTGAAAGAATACCATGTATATTAAGAAAAAGATGCAAAATATAAATCCCGCCCACCAACCCCGTCTCAATTGTGATGATTTTTTATTCTTAGAAACTTAAAACACGTTTAAAATGGTAAATTTTGTAGGGAAATATAAATTTTGCAATGAGGCTCCGCCCCTAGGTCTGGCAACGAATGAAAACTTCATTACACTTTTGATCAGGGCAGGTATGGGTGGGGCTTAATGGTTGGCTTTAATTTGTTCGTAATTTCTTGTTGAGAAATAATAAGGATTTTGCTATTAAATTCCGCTTCCGATTAAAAAAATCATCACAATTGAGATAGGGCGGAGCTTATATTTTGTCTTTTTTCTTAATATACGTAGTCTTTCCAGAACAAGAAACATGTTTAAAATGCCAAACTCTGGTAGACAAATATGGATTTTGCAATTTAACTCCGCTTCCTTGGCTCTCAACCATTAAAAAATCATCACAACTGAGATAGGGTGGGTGGGCGGGGCATATATTTGCCCTTTTTTCTTAATCATCTTTTCACAACAAGAAACTTAGAACATGTTTAAAGTGGTAAATTCGTGCAGGGAAATATTCATTTTGCAATTACGCCCCGCCTCTCGATCTGACAACCAATGAAAAATTCATCACGATTGATATCTCCTCTGGTTTTCTTTTTTAATTAATACATTTAGTTTTCTTTGTATAACACCAGTACTTAAGAACATATTTCACATGGTAATTTCTCGTAGAAAAATAAGGATTTTGCAGTTAAGCTCCGCCCGTCGGCTTACGACGAATAAAAAAAATCATCAGAATTGAGATAGGGTGGGCGGGCGGGGCTTATATTTTGACTTTTTTTTCTTAATATACATAGTCATCTTTTCACAACAAAAAACTTAGAACATGGTTAAAATAGTACATTTTTGCAAGAAAATATGGATTTTGCAATTATGGGGCGGAGCCAAATTGCTAAATCGATATTTTTTCTTATATAAATTTACCATTTTAAACATGTTTTAAGTTTCATAAAGTCTACACACATTCAAACAAAAAGGCAAAATGTCAACCCGCCCGCCCGCCCAATCTCAATTGTGATGATTTTTTTATTCGCCTTGAACCAAGGGAGCGGAGCTTAACTGCATAATAATTATTTCTTTACAAGAAATTAAAAACTTGTTTTTGAGTATCGTGTTGTTCAAAGAATACTATGTATATTCAGAAAAAAAGGCAAAAGATATTCCCCGCCCACCCACCCCGTCTCAATTGTGATGAATTTTTATTCTTAGAAACTTAAAACATATTTACAATGGTAAATTTTTGTAAAGAAATATGGATTTTGCAATTAGGCTCCGCCTCTAGCTCTGGCAACGAATGAAACCTTCATTGCTATTTAGATCAGGGAAGGTATGGGTGGGGCTTAATCTTACTCAAAAACATGTTTTTAATTTCTCGTATAGAATTAAGGATTTTGCAGTTAAGCTCCGCCCCCTTGTCTCAAGACAAATAAAAAAATCATCACAATAGGGCGCGTGGGCGGGGCTCCATTTTGCCTTTTTTTCTTAATATGTGTAGACTTATTTCGACAACAAGAAACTTAAAACATGTGTGAAATGGTAAATTTTTGTAGGAATCAACTTAAATACGCCACTTTTTTTCTGCAATCCCTTTAAATACGGCAAAAATTGAACATTTTAATTTTGAATCTGCAAAACCGAATGCTTTGAAATCTTGCAGATGTTTTAAAGTTATGATAAATTTGTAATCAAAATATATTTGCTTATCCCCTCCAAAAAATTGATGACGTCAGCTTAACATTTTGACGAATAAATCCTATCAAAAATGTCCAAAATATGACAAGTCTTTAACGTATAAAATGGGCGTAAAATGAACAAAATGACCTTTATTTATCTATTATTAAAGGATATCAAGAGTAGACCCGCTGAGATGTCGTAAATCGTCTCGAGTCTGCATACTTGTTTGCCCTTCTTACCAAAATTTTGCGTTTTATGTTGGTGGTTCTAAATTATTGGCAACAATGCTAATATGTCAATTTATAGTTGTCAATTTTGACATGACCGCGTCTAACAAACGTAATGAGAAGATGACAGTTACTGACTTGATGCCATCATAAACTTTGAATATGTTGCCAACCTCACACCAAATCGATCACACATTTTACAGCATCTTTTCACCGATAACGATTGCGAAATCATCAATCACCCACTATCACTGAATACTGCCCTGTATTTACGGCACGAAATAACCATTATCGTTACAGGGTAAAGGAACAGGCGTCGAGGACACCATCAACTTAGACGTGCATGCAATCACAGAGCTCCAAAACCTGGGCGTGCCCCCCACCGACGACTCCCCCAAATACAACTACACCGCAGGAAATGGCATCAACGAAGACTACAAATTCGAATCCTGTGACGCCACTGTCATCGCCCTGCGTCACAACAAACAATTCGTCGACCAGGTCCACACAGGCCAAGAATGCGGCATCCTCCTCGACAAAACAAACTTCTACGCCGAACAAGGTGGCCAGATCTACGACACCGGCTACATCGTCAAAGCGGGTGACGACAGCGTCGAATTCTCCGTTAAAAATGTCCAAGTGAGAGGGGGATACGTAATCCATATTGGTAGCCTTGAGGGTACTCTGAGTAAGGGCGATAAAGTGTCTTTGCATCTGGATGTTTCCAGGAGACGCTTAGTTATGAATAACCACACAGGTACCCACGTTTTGAACTACGCTTTGCGGAAAGTACTAGGAACGGAGGCGGACCAAAGAGGTTCTTTGGTGGCTCCTGATCGACTCAGGTTCGATTTTACCAACAAAGGAGCGATGAATGCGGATCAAGTGAAGAACACTGAGCTGAGTTCTAGAGAGTTGATCGCGAAGAACGACAAAGTGTATGCGAAAGAGGCTAATTTAGCAGTGGCGAAGACCATCCGGGGTTTGCGGGCTGTTTTTGAGGAGACTTATCCCGATCCTGTGAGGATAGTTTCAGTGGGGATTCCGGTTGAGGATTTAGAGAAGGATCCGTTCGGTCCGGCCGGTGACAGTACTTCCATCGAGTTCTGCGGCGGCACTCACCTCAACTACGCTGGACATATAGGTGACTTTGTGATAGCCAGTGAAGAAGCAATCGCTAAAGGCATTAGAAGAATCGTTGCTTTGACAGGTCCTGAAGCAACCAAAGCTTTGAAACGTAACGAATTTTTAGAAAATTGTCTGAATGAGATTAAATCGTTGGTGGCTGAGGACAAGGACGGTACTAAGTCCAAAGAACTGGTTAAGAAAATCGTGGAATTGACGGAAGAGGTTTCACATGCGGTTATCCCGTATTGGAAAAAAGACGAAATTAGGAATGCGTTGAAAGCACTGAAAAAGAAGTTGGATGATAAAGAGCGTGCTGCTAAAGCTGCTGTTGCCAATTTGGTGGTGGATCAAATCAAGGAATTTGTTAAAGCTAACCCGAATTTACCGGTTTTGGTGAAAGAACTGAAAGCTTTTTCGAACACGAAAGCTCTGGATACCGCCTTGAAACAAGTGAGGAGTTTGAGTCCGCCCACTTCTGCGTTGTTTGTTACTGTTGATCCCGACTCCAACAAGATATTTTGTTTAGCGTCTGTTCCGAAAGATGCCATAGACAAAGGCTTGAAAGCGAACGAGTGGGTGCAAATTATTGCTACCAAGTTAGGTGGGAAGGGTGGGGGTAAACCTGACTCCGCCCAAGCTTCTGGAAGCAATAGCGTCAATGTTGACGAAATTCTGGATTTAGCTAAGAAATTCGCCGAATCCAAGCTTTAATGATAATTTGCCATTTCATAGCAAGGGACATGGTTTTAAATTATTAATCACTTTTTTATTAATAAACAATACAATCAACTGCTGTTGTCTATACTTTGGTCATACAAAATCCTAACCTCTCTAAGTAGTTCGCTTATATTCATACCTAGTTTAGCGCTTATGGGAATAATTTTTAAGTCCGTGTGTTGCTTAAGTAGCTCTAGATTGGCTTCAGATTCCGCTAAATCTATTTTATTAGCTATAACCAACTGCGGCCTTTCTAATAAATTTTCGTTAAACTGAGACAATTCATACCGCAAAGTTTCCAAATACTCCCACGGTTTTTCACTTGACATATCTAAAATATACAATAAAGCGGCACATCGCTCTACATGTTTTAAAAACTGGATCCCTAAACCTCTATTTTTGTGAGAATCTGGTATCAAACCGGGCAAATCAGCAACTGCAATTTGCTCATAGTCGTCGTACTGTACCATACCCACGTACGGCTTCAACGTAGTGAATGGATAAGGCGCCACCTTGGGTCTTGCTCTTGACACAGCCCTCAATAAAGTACTTTTTCCGGCATTAGGAAACCCAATCTGTAAAAATCACACCACTAATAACAACCCCACTACACACTAAAGTCATTACCAAACCGACATGCGCCATACTTCTAATTTCCAAAGTATACTCCAACTCCTCCCCCACAGCACCGTACTCACACACTTCAGGCGCCTGTTCCGTATCTGTTACAAAAAAATGGTTGCCTTTTCCTCCAGCGCCGCCTCTAGCCGCCACAAACATAATCCCCTCGGTTGTCAAGTCCCCCACGACTTTGCCCGTCGCGTTTTTCACCACAGTCCCCACAGGGACGTCGATAATGCAGTGGTCGGCGTTTTTACCATGGCAGTCTTTGTTGGTTCCTTTTTCGCCGTCTTTGGCCCGGATTACCGCCGGTACGTTTATTAAGTCTTTGGTGGCGACGCAAGCTTTGAAAATGACGTGGCCTCCGTTGCCCCCGTCGCCCCCATCGGGGCCTGCGAATTCGTTGCTCCACAGGCGCAGGAAGGAGATGCAGCCGTCGCCGCCGCGGCCTCCCGTGGCTCGTAGTGATTTTAAATCTACAAAATTTTGGACCTGTTTGCATAATGTGGGGGTGCTGAGTATGGGGGCTTACCGGCGTTTTGGTGGATTTTGGTTTTTTGCTGCGGAGGGGCTGCGGCACTTTTTGTTGCGAGTATTTACATAGGGTGGTGGTGAAGTTTAGGGTTATTCGGATGCGGTTGAAGAACATTGTAATTGTTTATAGGTTACGGAATATAAATAGATAGGTTAGGTTGATTTGACAGTTCTTTGATTTGCACGCCAATTTTATGGGGTAAAGTGACTGTGAGTTATGCAACACAAAATACACTACCTAGCTTTTGGTTCCTGTGGGTTTTTACAGGTGATCAAAAAGTTTTTAGATTAGATTTGCCCTTGGGAATATTTGTTATGTCTTTGATTAAATTGCAAATGTCATGCATAACCTGATTTGTATATCAATAATTTGGATTTTTCACATTTGCATTTTAATCAAAGACATGACAAATATTTCCATGGTCAATTCTAATCAAAAACTTTTTGGTCACTCGTTATCTGTAATTGGAGTTTTGTTGAAATTATATATTCACAGAAAAATAATAGAATGCTACGGTTTATAAAAACGGCTGTTAAACAACAGTTTTTGCGTTCCAAAGTTTTTGTGATAAATATGACATAAGGCTGACATTTTTTTGAGATAATTTACATTATACCAACCTACAAAAAATGACTGAATACGTTTTAAATTACATACAGGCCCGTAGCTAGACTTTGATTTCAGAGTGGGCAACTAATATTTTAGAGGGGGCAAACATATTTTTTTATCTTCGAATGTATAAGTATAGGTACCTGAAATTATTTTTTTGTGTTTTGTTATACTTTATTGCTTCTAGCTGAGTACATAACATTTTTAATTTTAAAACAAAACTTTTTTAAGTTTTTAATACAATTGGAGTCTTCTGTCCTTTCTCTCATTAAATTTCTGCAAGAACACATCAAAGTTTATATTATTAGTTTGCTTACTTTCAAAAGCTAAGTATACAAGATTGGCCATTCTCTGCTGGGACATTGAATACCTTTGTGGTCTATTTATACGAGTTAATGTGGAAAATGAAGACTCATTAACTGCTGTACTACACCCAAATACAGCGACAGTTGCGTACAATTTATAACTTTCATTAACGGCTTCACGTTGGTTGTAAAGGGCCTGTAGTATATCTTGTTCTTTTACCCCTTTATTGGACAAATATTTTTTTACGACGGTAAGTTCTTCTTGAGACGGTAATGGAATACCTAAAAAACAAATTTAAAAATTACAGATTTTTTACAGAAAAATTTTAAATCAATAAAATATGGACTTAAATTAATTTGATAAAAATCAAATAGGTAGTCACTCACCCAAAGTTGATAAATACTGAAGTTTCTCTAAATCAAATTGGTCGATACTTGAAATCGCAGTAATTAACTCGTCATTGTCATCAAATCTTTTTTCAAATTCAGCAAGAAGCAAATCAATAGTTTCCATATATTGTCGTTTAAGGTCATTTTCACAGTTCGTACTTGTACTTGGAAGATAATCGGTGAACAAATAGTCTTCTTTGGTAATCCGTTTTCGTTTACGTTTAGGAACCCTGCATTCTTCTGTCTCGTCTGTCTCTGGCAATAAATCTAGGGCTTGGTTTAATATTTCTAAGTACTTCGATTCGTTCCTTAGCTGTCGAATTTCTTCTACTGCTATCTTCGTAATTACGACTGCATCCTTTAGGCTTGTTTTTCTACTTTCTAATGCGTTGTTCGCACATTCCAAAAGTGATAAAATTTTGTGGCTTAAAACTAGTGCAAAACGAAACTCAATTTTTTTCATTATAGCATATAAACCAAGGCTTTTAGCTATAGTGTCGCCGTCAAACTTTTCATGTGGAATTTTTTCTAATGCTTGGAGTATCTTTTGAAAATTGTTCCGAATTACTTTTGTAACGGCCAAATGACCTGTCCATCTTTGCTCTAGAAGACGTCCGATATTTTTTCCCTCATAGATGTGGTGTACTTTGGGATGTTGAAAAAATTCATGAAATGTAATGCATTGCTCAAAGAACAGTCTTAAAATCACAATATCAGAGACAACTCTTATTACCACTAGGTGCAGTCTGTGGTTAAAACAGTGCACGTAAGGTACCTTTTTCTGTAGAGCTGATTCAATTCTTGCGGCAACGCCTCCTCTTTTTCCGCTCATCACACTTGCCCCATCGTAGCATTGGCTAAGCATATTATTTTGATCTAATCCATTTGCATCAAGAATGTCTAATGTTTTCTCAGTAAATGTAGCAGCATCTAACTTGACGGTTGTTGTTATAGCTAATAAAGATTCCCTTACCTCTCCGTTCTTGACATATCTTATGCCTATTGATATGTTCTTTCTTTGGTTCTTGTCTTGAGTTCCATCTTCGAGTAACGTAAAATATTTAACATCTCCACTTTTTATGTCAGAGCAAATATTTTCTCTTACAGTTTCTGTCAGAATATCAATTACTTCATTTTGTATTTCCGGAGAAGTGTAGCAAGCATTTTTGGGGATTTTCAAGTAACAGTCTGCCAGTTCTTTATCCTTCTTCAGAGTATACTGAAATAGTCTAATAAATAAACTTTCTTCGATATGTTCGTCTAAATTGTATTCTCCACGAAGTGCCAGTTCGTTTACAGCAATAAATTGAATAATTTCTGCAATACTTTTTACATAGTATCTGTTTTGTTCCAAAGGTCTTTTGCATGCAAGTGTAGATACTGCCAAATTCATGTTGTCTCTCCGAATTTTTTCATTCCATTTTTGCATCGCCTGAATATGTGTTACACATTTTTCATGTCTCGGAAATCCTCTTTGATCTAGAGCTCGTTTCCAAAAACGAAAACCTTTAATCGTAAAAGAAGTTTCTTTGGAACTATGAGGCTCAAACTGCATGCACGGATAACAGTACGCTGCATCACGCACGACAGAATAAATTAGCCATTTAAACCGATCATACCACTCCGCACGAAAAGAACGATCTTTTTCTCTGGGATATTGCCTAAGACGTATTTGATTAATAGGTTCTCCTATATTTGGTAGGTCCAAAGGTATTAAATTTTTTCTTGCAATATTCATGTCTAATAGAGAACCTACGCCCTGTGATGTCTCGTTCGATAGTTCAGAATCATTGGCACTGGGTCCCGCTTTAGCATCAACTTTTGGTGCAAAGAATTTTCTTATATCCATGACTGCACTATATACACTCGTTAAATAATGTCTTTAATATAACAATTTTTATTTCAACTACGCGAATTTAAAGTCCAACGTGCTTGGTTGAGTTAACAGTGAACAATGAGACGAAAATTGAGAAATTCTCGAAACCAACCAGGCCGCAATCGGCTGCAGGGTCAAGCGGACGAATTCTGGGAAACCATAAATTGCTCCAATTTGTTTTTTGACACTTTTAATATTTTTACTTCCCGAGCGTACGCTACTACTATTGACGCCGGTTCCTCGGTTCACCGAAAAAATCGAAGAATTTTTATGACTTTGTTTGTCTAGTTGGGTCTTCAACAAACCCCAGATGTGGTGTTTACGATTTGTCATGTACCTGCTTAACAATAACACTTCCTAGTGATTTCGAAAATGTGCACAACAAAAATTTATCTGCCGTACTTGCGGAGTCGTACTGCCAGCAGAGCTGTTATCCTTATGCCCACAGATAAGACAATAACTTTCCAGAGTGGGCAAGATTTTCTTTCAGAGTGGGCAATGCCCACTCTGGCCCCACCCTAGCTACGGGCCTGATTACATATATAGTAGTGCCTCTTTTTCAGTTTATCTGCTGAAACATCATGAAATGTCAATAGTGTTGCCATTTTTATTTGTAATAAATAATACAGACGCATTTTTTTCAATGTTTTATTGAAGTTTTTAAATAGTTTTGAGAATTTTTCAAGCTGTTGAATGATTAATTCAGAGCAAGAATCAGTCTCAAAAATAAGATTTCTCTTTTTATATTATATTTTTTAAAAACTATTAAATAAATTGTCAAATAGCTCCAATGCCAATATCATTATTAAAAAATGTTTTTTTTTTTTCGATTATATAAAATCAAATACCGAGTGACTATTAATATAACATTGCTGCCAATAATTCAGAATTGCCAACTCAAAAATTCAATCATTAATAGTCATCCGGTACCATTAAGGCACTGTGGACCAACCAGGGTATATATGAGAATTTTGGTAATGTACAAGCTACAAAAATATACTACATATTCAAAATATGCTATTGTTTTGTTTTAGTATTAAAAAGTAGCCATTTTGTAAATCTAAAGTACTTTTTGTAGGTAATGTTAATTTATATATTTTTTTCAGGTATATAAAAGAAAGATCCACTAAGATCTTATTTGAGCCTTAATTTAAGTAATTAACTTGTGTCCTAAGTAATAAGTGGTTTAAAGTGTACATAATTTGATTTTAGGTAATTTATTAACTGTTATTAAATATTTAGTGACATTTTTTTTTTGACTAACAAACTAATGCAAACATTTTGTCTATATTCTTTCTATTTAGATTTGTGCTTTTAACGGGGTATTTATTCTTTCCTAGGTCTGTGGACTGATCAACAAAACAGCAGCTAATTTAATGAAATCTAACAATAATATTTTATTTATCTCAATATTAAATAAAAATGTTTATTATTTTAATATCAAAAAGCAAGAAAAATTAGTCACTTTCGAGGTGATAACGTAATTTATCAAAAAATGGTGGAGGAGCCGGGATAGCTATTTAAAAGTGCGTGAAAAATTACACTGAATAAAGTGTACAGACACTTATTATTAAAAATATCGGGTGACCCTTAATAAATTGACGCAAATTTTTGTGTTGGCAATTCTGAATTATTGGGAGCAATGCTGGTATGTCAGTCAGAGTTGTCAATTTTGATGTGAGCGTTTCGAATAAATGTAATGAGAAGATGGATACCAGCTACTAACTAGTAGGTGCCATAAATTTCAGTGTTGTTAACCTGACAAAAAAAAAATCACAAATTTTAATAATCACTCGATGTAATACAGTGTCATCAATAAGTACTGTTTCAGTTGGTATTAATGAATTTTGCTTGAACCTGACAGGCCTTCTACCTTACTTCTTATAATAAAATTGACATGATTGACAATTTTTAATTCGAAACTAAAATTAAAAAAAAAAACTTTTAAATCTGTTTATATTTATAAACTAAAAAGCCACCACCACTGGTTGTGATAATATAATATTGTGACATAATAAATTATATACAGGGTATATAATATGGCATTATATTGTTCAATCTTATTTTTTATTTTCTCAGAAAGTGTCATTTCCCAAAATCAGTCTTACATTGGCAAGTAATATGCACTTTTCATTCTGAGTGGATAAAATTAATCAGTGAAATAGAGATGAGGTGGGTGGGCGATGTTAATTATATAATATTTTGTAGAGTGAGAGTGAGAATTAATAGAAATTTGGTTATAAAAAAATAATAATAAAAAAAACGGCAATTCTAATTTTGTATAGTAGCCTCGCCCACCTACTTCATTCTAATACTAGCCCCACCCACCCGCCGTCTATTTTCTCAGAAGTTGTGATTTGCCAAGATCAGTCTTATCTTATCAGGTACTAGACCCCCCCCACTCACCCACTATTTGCTTAGCGAGAGTGGCATTTGCCAAAATCACTTTTATCTTAGCAAATGCTAGCCCCACCCACCCACCCTTTTCCTAATTTTATTTCTGTTCAGTATAAAATGCATTTTTCATTCTGAGCAGATAAAATTAATCAGTGAAATAGAGGTGGGGTGGGCGGGCGGGTTTAATTATATATTCGTCTGTAGAGTGAGAGTGAGAACTAATAGAACCTAGGTTATAAAAAATAATAAAAAAGAGCAATTGCCCCCCGCCCATAAGTTTGGAACTTATTTCACAAGCATTTTTATTAATTCTGGTTCAGGCTTTCAACTTTGACAATTATTTGACATTTGTGGTGCCAACTGCTCCAATTTCCCCAACATAATAAATGAGACGGTAGTTTAGAAACTTATAAACAAATAATAAAACCGTCACTTTAACGAATATCTGATTTTTATGATTTTTTTCAAGATTTGCTTACACAAGTGTTCCAAATGATCAACATTTAATTTCATCCATTCCTTAAATTTTGGTAACGTTATAATTAATATTACACTGTGACTCACATAATGCAAAATTTCTTGTAGGCGGCACAAGTCCAAGAACTGAACTATAACTCATTTCCAAGGTAAATATATTGGTGGCAAACTTTTTAATTCTTCGCTTCATAATCTGAAGTCACAACTGGAAAATCGATTTTTTTCGAACACAATTGACCATTGTGTAACATCGTCACACCTGTATTTTAACTAATCATGATATTCATCATCCATGCAACATGTATTACTACTTAATCGTGACCAATTTTTAGTAATTTCGCTCGAAATACCTACTAATCTCTAACTAATTAAGTGCAGCGAACGGAAAAGTGTTAATGTTGATCTAGGAAAAATTCTTGTTTAATTGTGTACAGCTGAAAGCTCTCGGTTCAAGGCCAGTTTTGAGCACTACTAGTCCTGATGACGTCAGTTTAAACGTCACGGTGACATCAACGATATCAATGCAATGTAACACAACTGTTTTTATCCTTGAAAGCATAAAAATGATACAATTTTATTATCGTTATCATCTCACTAACCATACATAAACGTGCGTATTTCTAAACGTAAACACAACAATCACATTATGTCATCATTAAAAAAAAGCACTGTAACTCGTAAATGAGTAATTACGTGGGACATCGATGACATCACCGTCCTCACAACGACATGACCAAACAGAAAAATCCTTCGAATCCACGACGTAATTTTGTTGGTAAACAGTCCCAAAGTTCTAAATTATTAAGTGGCTTACTTAACTCAAGGTGACCCCCATTACGATTTTTTTCAGCTGGTATAAATATCGAAGTGTAAAAAGACTTGTCCTTAATCTATTATACATCGATTGTGTAGGAAAATAGCAAGTGTCTCAGCCGGCTGAGAACCTCCACGTGTCTCATTAATAATTCCCGTTTGTACCCCAACAATTTTCTTAGTAGTTAACCATTTACGAACCGACAATTGAAAACCAATTTGGTCCAATTTCAGCAGCTTTAACATATGTTTCGTACTCTAAATATTTATATCGGTTACACTTTTTATGTTTATTTAGACGATTAAGCTGGAGAGAATCGCACTTCGACAATTTTCCAATTCATATTTCCTGCGTCCTTAATAAGAAAGAGTCGTTTGCATGTTTGAACTCACCTGAAACGGCAAACAATTATTGTTATTGATCGAGGTGTGATGTGACTACTGAGTGACTAATTTCATTTAAATTATTACGTGTTGTTGCAGCTGTACGGTATTTTTAGTTCCATTTCACCGGTTTTCTATTGTTTGTACTTCTGTGTGTTCGTTATCATCAGAATAGCAACCCTTTGTAGTCGCAAACAAAAAGTGCAAAGTCATAGTCGTATTAATCCTTCAGGAAAGCAAAAGTAGGGTGAAAGTCGAATGATGATTATTATGAAATAGTTATAATAGAAGAAATATTAGTTGTGCGCACTTGTGGCTGAATTCCCCCTACTTTTAAAATCGAGGTCATCGATAACAGCAGCCCTTATCCCTTACCTATTCTATAAAACGAACAATACCCTCTACGAATTTAAAATTAAACTCTAATAATACCCTTTGTGGAACGTAATACGGTTATAAATAATTCACACAAAACGTAGACGTCGATACGTCTGAGGTTTTTTGCTATCAGTCCTGTCTATCTTAATAAAAATCCGATTAAAATGTCGGAAGAAAAATTTCCGTTATCAAATTTTGAGCGCACGGAGGATGATAATGATCCGGTTGGCGCAATTTGATTTTCGTACTAATTAATTGCTTGTAGGTTTAAAAATAGCCGATTGACGTTCCGGAACATAAAAACTAAAATTGTGTCAATAGTGATGTATAGGCGCAATAATGATTAATGTGCCGTAAACTCCAATTATCAGGAAATACGAAGTTTTAACGAGTTATTTTCGCTGGAGTATGGTATAGGTGAGGGCTGAACGAGTAATAAAATCTCTGTGATGATGTATTAATGGGAACGATGTCGATTTTGGATTTCAAACACTTTTTCCTGTAGCGTTTGGCTCGTCATAAATGAATTTATGGACAGGTTTACGATCTGCTGCAATAATAAATACATAAACGAGTGTGTTCTTTTTTATTTATGTGCATATTTGATAATGTTTGGCAAGCGTTCTTGTGAATAAAATAACCAGTTAATTTTAGAGCGATTTGCTGGAAGCAGCGAAAAGGTGACGATTTAATTATGAGTGTGGTTTTACAAAACGCAATTATGAATGAAATTTTGTTGTGCGACAAACTTTCTAAATTTTTCTCATAATTGATTTAAGAGAAGTGTAATCTACAGAAAGGCGAAGTGATTACCATTAATAATTTAAAAATCGATTAGTCAATAGACTGATAATAATATTTAATACGTTATTGAAGCAGCTGGA